GCGACCTCCAGTAATAGGCGTTGCGCCGGGTCCATGCCCGCGGCTTCCTTTGCTGTGATGGAGAAGAAAGGGGCGTCGAACCGTGCCGGATCTTCCTCCAGAAAGAACCCGCTGTCATGGTTGATCTAAGTGACATTGGTTTTGTTCAGGCTCAATGTGATTCGTGTCGAGGGGTTATTGTCAGGAGCAGAGGAGGGAGGACGTACGGCACCTTTTCTTTCATGGCTCGGATGCTTCCACGCCGCGGCTTGATATCGGTTACCGGGTACAGGGCCATGTTCCTTTCGTCCATCTCGCAACATCTCCCAGAAGCCGTCTAACGACGCCGCCTGGCCAGAAAAACGGCAGCCCAGGCCTATCACTGCAATAGGCTCCGGGCATGATGATGTATTGTTCATAGTGGTAGGCCGTCACGACGCCGTGTCACCTCAATGCACTAAGGTGGTCTCTTAATCAAGTAACTTCACGTTGACTAATTTTCCGTTATCTCAAGTCTTCGGCACATTTTTTGGATTCACTTCCATTCTTTATACGTATATACAATCTCTACCACAACCTACATCATATCCGGATTGAACCGTTCCCAGCACTGCCACCGCCCGTCACAGAGCTTAGGCGTAGTTAGACCCTTGTTGTTCTTTCTGCTACATGCTATGACGACCGATATGCAAGGCTTGCAAAACCACGCAAGGACACTGCTTGTTTCTGGGCGTCAAGATAGATGTGATCGGCGATCCCATCTACAAGCCATGATGGTCTATGTAGCGGCAGATTCGTTAATCAGCTAGCGGATAGCTTGCTTCCTTCCGACTCCAAGGCTCTCGTGTTGGTATCACTGCAGGTCAGGGCAACTAAAAGACAAAATCATGAAGGAAGCTGCGTAAGTGTGACAAAGTCATTGGAAATCGATCTGCGTTCTGGAGTATCAGGACAGAGCCCACGCAGGCCTATGCAAGTGGGAGTATAATATCGTGACAACAAGGGGAATGTGCTATTCTGCAGAATGAAGCAACGGCATTGTTCTCTTCTATCTTTATGTAGTGTGTGCGCATGACCGCTACTTTCCTTTAGGCTTTTCTGGATTCCAATTAACCCACTCAATTGCTGTCTTATACCTTGCCGACTGCAACAAATATGGCATTCTAATATTACTGGTTCCAGACTCTTTTCTAAGGAATGGAACGTGGGTAGTGATACGTATACAAGCCTTGAGTCAATACAGAAATTGAATGGAAACTGCAAGGAACGGCTTTGCGTGAGCCCTGTATGGCTGTATTTCCAAGGGGTGGCTTGTTCAAAACCTGCCAAATACACCAAATAACAAGGAACTTTCGCGCTCCGTAATTAGCTGTATGACGTGACTGCCTCTACGGCTTTTTTTGCTGAGCTCGCCTTGTCGTCATGAAGGCTAATAGAGCCTTCGCGTGTGCAGAGTCTTGAAATTGACAAAATGTTTTTCAGCCTATTTCAAGAGCAGTTTGAAACTAGCACAGTTGCTTCAATGTACGAAGACGTGATTCTCATGCGGCTACTGAGACTAGATTCGGACCGCTGACGTCCTTTGCACAAGCATGGTGTCGGGTGAAGGGACGCCAATTACTATACAATATTCGCTTATTACTCCTATTCTCATGCAGGTTGCGAGACTCGATACCTCTCAAAATGGCGGCCAACAAGTATATTTGCCTTGCCCTCGTGTGTTGTGGATTAATGCAGCAAAGTGACCGGTTACCAATTTAAGGCAAAGCCTCTATGGTAATGGCCGATTAAACTTCTTCAAAGGGGATGTGATGATCGGTCCCACGTAGCCGGATTAGCTGGGCTTGATCGATCCGATCTCGGGAAAAGCTTCCCTGTGACGTAGGTTCAAAAGACCGATCATTGCCTGGCGTATATATTCGGGGACCTGCATATTCAAGGATGACAGTGGGCACAAGGTCTGGGCCAATGTGGGTCTTAAGTAGCACGCTTCACGCTCAGGGAATTTGGGTTCATAGTGCATATCACACTCTGTCGTCGGTACATTTGACGATGACAGATATAAAAGGCTAACAGCCAAATTCCAAGTGTGCACCGCTGGCGAATCCAGCACGTGAGTTTCTCATCACAAGCCCCTTCCCTTCCCCCTTGCTTCTATCTTCACGCGTTGCGATCAGGCCACATGGCAGTGACCTAGATCTGCTTTGGGGGTATCTCTAGTATTTGAGTTCCAAAGTGTACTTCTTGGATACCTAAAAATTGATCTATCCTTTTTATTTCAGACTCTCAAGGTTGAGACTCCTTCCCTGAAAAAGCCCATCAGTAGAGCTCATAATCTCACCAAAGGCTATTAAGGTTATCGCGCCGAAAATACTTCCTTGATCTCCCCTGTACCCCAAATGTAGAACACTGCAAGGAGGCGAGGGGGTGATACTCAGCCTTCAGCAGGTTCGCCTTGGTCCATGAGGGAAATCTGGACCTGGGCCTCATGTACCAGTGGGATGGATCATGTACCGAGTGGGGCCACTCGACCTTTCCATTAGATCATTTTCCTTGGAGTGTAGCTCAGCCCCCACGCTCTACCAATTGAAATTCTAGTCAAATGCTGCGCATTTCATTCTTCGGCACATTATGGAACATTATACATAGAAGCGGGAATTCCCGCTACCAATGTTACACCGCTCAAACTGCCCGCAATTCTCTCTGCAGGTCTGCTGGAAATGTTCTGAGACATACCGCTGGTTCGAGGGTGCAACAAGTCCAAATACCTCTTGCATATAACGCATACGCATTGACAATGTAGAACAAGGTATGCTTCTGTATAATAACGCCACAAAAGCTATCCCAGACGATTTCCCTGTTTTCAACATCTTACTGTGGTGTCAACTGGCTTTGCGCAATTAGCCATTCTAATCCGGCCCTGAATTGTCTCAGCTCCGACCCACTTCTCGGGATATCATGTCCGGCAGAATGGAGAATGGTCTTGCGACACTTAGGGTTGCAAAATTCCTCGACTAGCAAGGCGCAGTCGGATAACCCAGGGAGGTCATTATGACCCCGTAGATGCAAGGTAGGGATCGAGAGGCGGCCCGCAAAATGGTCCGGGTGCAAGGCACAGGGAATTTCTTCGATAGACCGGTCCAGAAAGAAGCGAACTGGCTCGCGAGTAATCGGCCGGCCTGCATTGATCACCTTGACAAATTCTTCAATTGGTGCCTTGATGGATGTGGGCAATTGTGCAAGCTGATCATCCTGCCCAGAACGGATCCGCTGCTGATCCTGCCGAGACAGGCCTCCCATTAAGGACTGGCAGTAGTTAGGGTCCGAGGAGCAGGGAATTGTTGTCGAGCAGAATATGGCAAACCGAAATGGGAGTGGTTCTTCGGGGTGGCTGGCAGTCCGTTCGAGGAGGAAGGAGGCAATGATTGAGGCTCCCTGACTGAATCCTAGGATACCGTCAAAGGGACCCTCATCCTCAATCGCTTCGGTGATTAAGGTGTGAGCCTCCTCGATGGATGGTGCGTCAAATGTGCGTGACCAGCAGTAATATGGGGGATTAAAGTTGGTTTCGATTCCTTCGAGGGAGTCATCGAAAAGCGGTTAGCTCTGTCGTTCTCACTCTTGAGCGGACCTTGTAGAAAGGATTGCCAAACCAGGTGCGGGCGGGCATTCGATCTCGCCGGAGAGCATATGAAACTCCCAACTGGGATCTGCCGAATGGAGGAGACCCGACAGTTGATATTGAAGGGCATCGGCACTCGTACCATAGCCGTGTAGACAGAGAATACGCATGCTGAATGAATCTTGCAAGCAAAAATTGCAGTTTCCGAGGCTCTCTGGAAGCGAAATACTACTATTGAAGTCATTTATATGCCCGAGATCGTGATTACCAAAGCAGTGGTGTCATGGTTCGCATTTACTAGACAACAAAGTATTCTTGCCCCTTATCCAGTGCTGTAAGGGCTATACCCGTAGTAAACTAAAGCCATCTGGGGAGTCATGGGAAGACAGATCGCGCTTTGACCAGGTTTCATTTTGTGATGCTTTCATGTTCCAAAACACAGAGGCCAAGAAAAGGAAAAAGCTGGCGCTTCTATAAATGCCACGAGAATCGTTGAAGATTAAACTATACCGTGTACCCTTGACAAGGTATTCCAAAGGAATCAAAGCATTGTCTCTAAGCTTGTTTCAATTCGTCCCCGGACGTGTCCAATCACAAGCAAGCACAGATCGCCGCATTCCAGGGATCTCCGTCGTGATGTTGGAAGACCAGGTCTACCTGTTAAACCGGTAGAACCGACATGCTCAAACATTCCAATAAAGTAGGTGTCTTCAAAGTACTCCTCTTCGCATTTGATTTACTGTATGTAACTAACAACCCGCCAGGGCTATTGTGCGGATAAGATTCGGGAGGCTCTACCGCCACACCTACCAGCCTCCGTTCAAGCCACACTCTCCGCCTACCTTAGTAGGATTAGCTTGTCGTTCAGACCTTGCAAAATCCCACCGCCTGCTATTTGGTCGGATTGGCTGCCTGGGGCGAAATCTATTGCCTAAGGCTGTATATTAACAATTGAGTAAGTAGTCGAAGGCCTCAAAGAGGAACATACAGTATTATAAATAGACTAGTAAGTTTTCATGTAGTAGGAATAAGCCTTACTACATGCTTGGGGCAGGTTGTTGTAACGTAACTACTTGCGAATAATACTCCCATTGGAGGCGTTCCACGAAGACTCTTCTAATATATAGTGTCGACGCGCTCACTGTTAGATCAAAAACGTTATCATATCGCTTATATCCAGCCAGGCAACGAAGGGTTTTGTTCCCCGACATATAACACAGATAACACTCTAGGTGAGAGAATAGTTACATTACAGTAAAAGAACTTAGATGGAGCTTACTTTTACTCCTGCCAGAAGTATGCCACATCTGGGTATAGTAAAGAGAATATGTGTATATGTGCACCATGCAACTTAGTTAATATTGGTTCCAATCCTATTTCATGACATAATGATAATACATACTTTGATGATAGATACAATATCTGACAAGATGGCATATCCTGCGAGATCATTCCGGATTTCCTCCGTTCCATGAATTCTCTAACATGATACGTAACGTAAAGAGAGCGAATCCCTGCCACGAAACGGATCAGTGAGCTGTGGAGACATTGAGTGCAGTCTCCACTGTAATTCCAGGGGATTGGCATTGGCTGGCTCGTGATTCGTGCTGCTGGACGGGGCTATTGATATGAACAGTCGTGTGCCCGCCAGCTGATGCTTCAGGCCACCGGGGTACAGTCCCAGTAAGTTCAACCTGGGAGTTCCTGGTTCCTTGGAACTTATCTGCACTGTCTATGGCAAGTCCAAGGCCGTTTCGATTGCGTATGTTGGACTTGGAGTAGGTGCTGCTCTGGCTACCGACCGTGAAGACGGTACGGAAGCTATGAATTATTGACTTGAGTGATGTTGCCCCAACAAACAGAGCGCCGTAACATGGAAGACAGGCGGCAATAATGGAACAATTGGGCTCTATGAGCACGAGGATAATCATCTTGGACTGGAGGCCTGTCGTCCATGTTACTACACAGCTTTTGGAGAGGAAACTGGGAAGATCATGGATAATACTTAAGAACCAAGGCATGGTCAACGGCCGCTTTCGACAGCAACGCGTGGAACAAAATAAGCCACACAGCAACTGCAACCACGAGGCATTGTGTCAGTAATCCGAGAGCTAGTTGCAACACCGTAATGACTTACAATTCACCCAGCCAGAATATTAGCAAGACACCAAACTTCTTGTGAAATCGCATGTGCAGAGACCATAGTACCGGGATGAGAAGCAGGAGAACGGCGGCATTCAAGACAATGCTAGTTCCTGATTGTGCAAACCCAAGCGCGACGGTATCTAATCGGAAGCGGCCTTCTCCAGTCCAGGACATGCTTAACGGGTCTCCCTCCAAAAGGACCAACTGTGCCAACATGTTAAGACGGGGATGGGTACCAGGGACTGGTAGCGGGGCTCGTACGAAAAAGAATAGAATTCCCCAAGCGCTAACCATTGCGATGGAGATCCAAGAGACCAGTTGAAATTTTTGTGTCACAAATATCCTCTTGTAAAGAGTAGGATGGAGATTTTGACTGCACACAAGCCTGCCTGGAGGATGGTGCTACAGATCAGAAGCAATTACAATGACTTTACAACACCCGTAGCAGCATTGATTTCATAGACACCAACACCGGTGATACTTCCGCTGTCCAGGTGCATATGCTTAGCCCCAATGTGGGAATCTACTGTAACATCAGCTGTTGCTGTCGTTGATTCAGGTTGACATTCAAACCCATGCTGCCATAATCCACCAGTCGTCCGCCTGGAGCGTCAACCGAGCGGCTCTGCGCGCTTTGAACCGGAATATAATCGATAGTAAGGAGAGAAGAGGGAACATGACCGACACAATAATGAGGGGCGCTGTTACGAGCGGACCAACTGGCGACTTCGACGGTTCATGTCATTCCGAAAGTGTTGGTAGATTTGGGCGCACCACTTTTGGCTTATTTGGTAGCAGCCTGCCAGAAATAGTAGGTGAGTAATTGACTTAGGTAGGATGAAGTGTCTCCGTATCTATCACTTGTCACAACATTAATAGCATTCTCTATCTACTTGCATGTAAAACTGGTTGGGTATCTAGGTGAGCCGAGCATCGCCGGTGAAGCAAACATTATGTAGTAAATGAGCAAAGACTCAACCTTAGGTGGTGTGTATGTTTTCAATATGTATGGTATTGAACAATATGTCTTATTACAGTAACAACGGCAGCAATCTGGAACAAAGTTGTTGGTGGGTCTGCCTAGCAAATCTGCTGAATCTTCGACGCTAGTAAGCACTAACCCCCAAATCTTACCACAGAAGACTAGACATGAATTGAACAAAGAAATGATCACACCAACAGCCTCGCCTGACATTTCCATTCCGCAGAACTATTATCACAACACATCAACCCCACACCCAGACCAAAGGTGACTCGGCCTGCATATAACAGGGAAACTCCCTTGAAATACTCCATCCGAAATCACATCTTCTCACTCCCCGCAGATACGCTGTTGTGTGACATCTCTCGTATATCTCAACTATAGTCTCACATCAACTCAACACCATGACCAAGCCCATCACCGTCTGGCTGACACGTAAGCTGACCCTCAACGCTCCAGCCCTGGCTCAAGGGCGTTTATCAACAATCGCCATAGCTAAGCCGGTTTGCTAATATCTTGTATAGCCCCTGGACCGAACTCATGGAAGGTCAGTGAAATCATATGCTAGCATCCCATGCATCATTGACGATCCATACTATGCAGGTTATTACTATCCTAGAAGAGCTGCAGGTTCCATACGTTATATATTCTTTCAAGTTCGATGATGTGAAGAAACCCCCCTTCATAGACATTAACCCCAACGGTCGAGTCCCGGGTAAGTGACTCATTGTGATAGCTTTTACATGTGCCATGAAATTGTTGGTCCCTTTAGGCAGTTTGCCAAGCTAACTGACACGAACAGCAATCGTCGACCCCAACACCAATTTAACGCTATGGGAGTCAGGCGCTATCATTCAATACTTGGAGGAAGTGTACGACACCGACAATAAGCTCACGTATGACTCGCTCAACGAGAAGCATCTTCTGAACCAGTATCTGCACTTTCAGATGAGCGGACAGGGCCCATACTTCGGGCAGTGCGGATGGTGTGTTACCAATACCCGTCCCCCGTCGGATGATGCCTACATCGCAGCCGTCCAAGGCTAATCTTTCTCCATCCAGGTTTAACGCCCTACATTCTGAGAAACTCCCTTCCGCCATTGATCGATATGTCAAAGAGGTTCACCGTGTGCTGGGCGTTCTCAATACAGTCCTTGAAGACAAAACGTGGCTCGTCGGGGATAAATGTACATTCGCTGACCTGGCCTTTCTCCCGTGGAATACTCGCCTTGACATGGCCCTTCTCACCCCGCCCGGGGAGGATCCCTTGGCCCCATACCCAAATGTTCAGGCATGGCAGAAGCGCATGGAAAGCAGGGACTCATGGAAGAAAGTCTTGGAAATTCGGTCGAAGCTCATGGATGAGCAGGGATTGCAACCAAATGGCATACCGAAGGGTATCAAGACCTTTCAAGAGTACGAAGAGCACATAGCCAGTGCCAATGAGGCGAAAAAGTAATAACTAGCTTGGCTGGCCCACTTACGGTAGAGGCTGAGACTATAGGGCATTGTGTAGTCTGCTAGGGTTATGTTAGGTTGCGATTCGCCGTAGAGTAATGAAATTCATTTTGCTTCATCTCCAACCTTTCCCGTCACTTGCAAGCGTAGCGTGAACCTTAGAGTAACCCGAAATCACATTTGAATTTTCCCAAGTCCAGCTGAAGACTTATAATTATTACTGTGGCATGACACAAGAGGGTTGGTCTATTCTCTTTCACATGCTTCACTCTACGATTAACAATAGCTAGCCTGCACTCAGAATATGACTAGGACTATTTTGATACAACAAACTATACGAGGAATGTCTAGTGATGAGTAGGGTTGGGATAATGAACGAGTAATGCCATCCAAGTTCAGATTATCAAATCCTACCGTGCCGGTACGACTCGCTTCTACTGCAGGTAGAGGAAGGGTGCGGAAAGCGGGAAGCGGGAAGCGGGTAGCATAGCCCATGTGAAATAGGCGCCCTCCTACGGGATCATGTGGGAGCTCTAAGGAAACCAAGTGCTATGGGGAACAGGACCTCTGGAGCCGAAGTCGTGCTCAACTACGACCACCTAGCCAACAAGTGGCTCGGAATATCGGTTCATCAAAAGCCCTTTCTAGTTGTTGCACGATGCACGTTCATGCTGTCAGTTGTGTATCAAAAGCGGCTTTCCAGCTAGCATGACCTGGTAGTATTGTTATGCCCCGCTCGCTTTGACGGGCGTGTTCGGTGATCTGTACCTTCGCAGAGCAAATTGAGCCAATTACTCCGTACTAGAGGCTTATCTCCTTGTTCCGAACTTCCACATTTGCCCGGGGGCATGGTCTAGACGCTACGGGAAATCTTGCCGTCCAATAAAGCGAATCGGCTAAGCTAAGCACTAATGCTCGACGAACATACAAGTCACATCTGGAAGAGTCTGCGGCTGATATGCATGGCTCGGTCAGTGTACATGCGTAAGATTATGAGCGTGTGAATCATATACCGTTTGGGCACCTCGATCAGTCGTGAGAGGAGCTTAGGGGGGATGATCGTTGGCTAGTGCTGAGTGGCTATGTGTGCTTTATGACAAACACTTCCCTAGGAATATGAGGCAGGCTGGCAAGGCCCATGTTAATATCGGGTTAATGTGGAACAGCAAAGTCTATTCTGTGGATTATGCGGCCATATTGTAGTCTTCCAGGGGCCTATCTTGATTTCTTATGCTTGGCAAATATAGCTGGTCACCGAAGCTTCCATAGTGTGGTTTTAGCTTATGCTATGTTCGGACGGGCTTATCATTGATTGACAAATGGGCAGCAGTTTCTATCTACACATGTTGATATGTAGTCGGCTATGCATAAAGGATCCACAATCCCAGAGCATGAAGAGGTTCTCACACTAGAAAGGACACGCCCGATCCTTCCGAGTCCGAAACTCAATTCTGTCCCAAGGCCACGGGAAGAGAAACTTGTGAGCCTCGTAGTTCTTCGGCCGACTATGTCCCAGTAGAAACCTGAATTCGTACGCGGTCAAAAGCTTCACGAATACCATCTTTATGATTAGGCTAGCAAAGTGTCGACCGGGACAGGATGTTTTGCCGTACCCAAAATCAAAGACCTCTCTACTGTTGAGAATTGATGATCTGCCTGGTCCTTTCGTGAACCATCTTTTTTCTGGGCCATGCGGTAACTGCGGAGTCCATCAAAACGCTCTGGGTAGACAGTATATTTCGGATCATTTCTTATGGCCATAACTGGGAGTGTGACGTACGTTCACTGATCGATTGATATACCCGAGAAGAAGGTATACGACTGCTTGAAGAGCCGCTTTAAACCAAGAATAGTTGGTGGGGAGAGACGTTGGGATTCTCGTAGCACGCTGTCGAGCTTGTAAAGTTTCGAGAAGGAATTAGCAGCATTATTCCAACCTGTCGTGGCCCAGACTTTGTAAATTTCGTCTTGCAACTCGTCAATATACTTCGCTCTATGAGATCATAGAGAACGTTCACAACGCGACGAAGGATAGTGTGAACCGATGCCAGGGCGAGAAGAACCTCAACATGAGCTAGGGTATCGGGGTCGAGATCTGACCCCTTGGAACCTCTACCAGCCATGCGAGAACATTAAATTCATCTTCGGTTGCCTTTGGAGACCATGTGCCCTTGTCATCTTCCGAGATCATGTCGCGTATGACGGGGCCAAGCAGATCTTTCGCCGACTTGAGGTGAGCCTGACATCTCCAGAATGTAGGAAGGCATCGGCTGATAACAGGATGTCATGAAAGAAATGATTTTGCTCTTTGTGCCGTTGGTTTCCAAAGAATAACCGTGTACTCCATATAAACCATCCTATAACAAACACAGGCCAACCGGCTGCCATGGTTCTGACTGTTTTTTGCATTGGAATTGTGTATCCAACCTTAGAAAACAAAATGACACGTCCGTTGTAGTCTGGCATATGCTTTACTGCTACGGCTTATGCATGGTAGATATTTAGATCTACTATAGTAATGGGTTATATGAGCGAGGTGGCTAGAGGGTTTGGTGGAGGATGAAAGGCGCGAAGCCTTGTTTGCCACATGTCATTGTAATTCATGACAGTGACGGAGTATTGATTGCATTGTTGTACGTAGAGCGCCGGGTGCCAAGTATTGATATGTCAGATGAATAGCGCGGAGCGCAGTTTCTTCAGGTCACAAGTATGATAGATCAGCGTGCCAACCAACCCCCATCAACCACGATCGCCTCCCCACTAACATAATTACTAGCCTGGCTAGCTAGAAAGACAGATACCCCTTTTATATCCTCCGGCTTCCCCCACCTGCCCACAGGAATTCGTGGTATAATAGACTCACGATAGGCCGCATGTTGTGGCTCCGCTAGCGTATCAGCGGTCATATCGGTTTCGATGTACCTAATAAGCCAAATCAGTTGTTTTGAAAGGAACTCCTGGCTTAAGACACGTATTAGATCGTATACCCTGGAGCGATAGCATTCACATTGATCCCATTCCCAGCCCATTCGTTACTGAACGCACGGGTCAACTGCAGTAACCCCCCCTTGCTTCCCGCGTACCCCGAAACGTTGATACCGCCCTGGAAGCTGCCCACGCTGGCCACGTTGATGATTTTACCGCGCTTCCCCTGCGAAATCCAGTGGCGGGCAATATCGCGACAGAGAACGAATGGAGTTGTCAAGTTGGTTTGCATTACCGCTTCATAATGGAGTGTATCGTAGTCCACCGCCGGACTGCGGTGTTGAATTGCGGCGCAGTTGACGAGGATGTCGACTGAATGAGTGGCGACAACTGTGCTGATCAGTCCTTCAACTTGTTCGCGGTCGGCAAGATCACATTGGACCACCTCACAACGCATACCAAGCCGTTCTACGGCTGGTTGGGTGTCGGAGATTTTTGTCGAGCGCTGGACGAGGACTATGTCTGCGCCATGCTCAGCGAGCCCGAGGGTGATTGCTTGGCCGATTCCTCGGGTGCCGCCGGTGATTAGAGCAGTCTTTCCGGACAAGGAAAACAGTGACATCTTGTACTGATGGTTTTGGGTGGGCACTGAACATGTTGAACTCCTGGGAGGGAGATTATAACATGAATGAATTCTTATGCAAGTCTTCTGATTGTGTCACCTCGGATGTCAGAGGTCTCCACTACTTATTGGGTCCCTTAAATGACATCCCACCAATATACCAGTATGAAGTGCACTTGTTCATATAAGGATAGCGTCTCTCAAGTACCGTGTTATGGCACGTCAGATCATTTCAATGGCAATGTGACACCCTCTTTGCCACGAAATCGGATGTGACAGGCAACATTTTGCAGATCCCTTCCTTCCCCTGTTGAAATCAGTGTCGCCCATGTAACTCCTGTACTCTCCACTGCTTACATGGGAAGAAATCAGTTGTAACATAGTAGTCTAGTCTAGCTATGCTCTTCTAGTTTTCGTCTATATTAAGGCGAAGTACTAGGCCATGTATCTCGCAAAGCCATCTCGCAGCGGGTAGGGCAGCGGTTGAATTCGACGAAAATATATATCCAAACCGGCGTGACGACAGCTTCTCAACCCCCTAAGATCCATATGTTTCCCACATTTCGAGGCATATACACTTTATAGTAGATATCAACTAGGCCTTGCAACAGTGTCCCTGTCAACTACGTCTCAAGTCTTAAGTTCTCTCTTATTGCCTGTTTCGAGCGATTTAGAGCATTTACAGTGTTACAATCAACTTGTGCCATCAGTGGCAGAGCCTGTCTACTGTCTATTTCTAGTAAGGTTTCGCTTAGATCCGAAGTAATCTAATTATGTGTTTTGTGGGACATGACGGTTCGACAGCTTAGGTATCTTCGGGTATCTTCAGAAGAAACTCCAAATTGCCAGATAAATCATTACTTGATTGTCATAGATGCATTTCACCAAACTGAGCCCTTGTTGGTCCAGACACGCTTACAATGTGTCCTGCGGGTGGGCAGTCTCCCTTAATAGAGAACCATGTTATATTGTGAAAATTCAAAGGATTATGTATGACTAATTAGAGATGCTGCGTTCATACAAGAGAATCTGAAAATTAACGGTACAAATACAATGAACCGCAGCAACCTAAGTTTCTTTGCAAACTATTCCTCCCATTTATTATAATAGAGCTCCATCGTGACTTCCTTCAAGACATGAAAATGCCGAAGAGTGCTGGTGTTGATGACATTTAGATATCGTGGCACTTGTCGACATATGACTTGAAGTGTTCCGGAAAGTCATCCTTCCACAGTTGATCGCTGTTCAAGTAGTCGTCGACCTTTTTGCACCTGTCATTTGTAATGTAGGGAAGCAATGGGGGCACCCCTTTGAGAACGGCGGTTCTTGCGTTGCTGTTGACGCAATCCAAGAATGGCTGTACCTTGTCTTCATCGTCACAGAGGTTCAGACCATCGGACTCTTTCTGGCACTTGGAGACGACCGTGTTGTATAGGTCATCAATGGATTTAACAAATGCCTTCTGTGCCGGCTCATCATTGATTCCAGTGTATTGGATACCATCCTCTAACAGTTCGTTGAGAATCTCGTCCTTCACATCGCTGTTCCACTGGTCGATGTTGGGTGCGCAACCGGCCGGACAGGCGTTCAGCTGAACATTCTGGATAAAGTAGCCTGGTATTTTGCTAATGGAGTCGAGGGCATCAAAGCACGAGGTTACCAGGGCGAGGGTGGGAGAAACACTGAGGCAAGCAACAGTTGCAATGTTCACGGCGTTGTTGAACTTCATGGTGACCTCTGGTTTAGGATGGTCGCTGGACTTCTGATGGTATTGTAGTTTTCTCGAGATTGGAAGACGTATTCTTGCACACTGACACCGAGAGGATCCCAGTTGCTTTAAAAACAATCTAGGACGAGCAACATTCCTCCCATCTTTCCCTGCAACACAATGACAAAGGGTGAATATAGTGGTGATCCTTTCAGGCTTCTAAAGGAGGACATTCCAATTCTACATGATCGGTATCTCAACATGTTTATAAGCAGATCAATCAATTATTGTGGTTGTGGAGTCTAGGGTCGAGCGGACTGGTGTAGAGGACATTCAAGTCTCAGACAGCGTATGTCACAAAGTTTATTAGTCTAAACCCACAACTCAGTCAAGGAAAGGAAACAAGCCTAACTAATTGTGATGCTCTGCTCGAGTCACTAGCAGAGTACCCTCCCCTGCGGTATGACACGGTCCTTTGTCCGTCCCGTCAGGGAGAGCTCGCGCTTACTCCTTTCCGCTTGAGAATGTAGATCATTACCATAATAGTACCACATAAACATACGCTTCCGCATTGCTTTGACATTGGTTCTGCAATTGGGTTTTTGTTGTTGTCCGTTTTCCGTTTGGTGCACCAATTTCGATCTGATTAGCCATGGAAGAATCAATCGAATAGTCTTTGCACTGCTGCGTTGCCTTCGGTCTTCACCGCTTTAAGCTCCTTAATTCACTTTCTGTTCGGTCAGATTGAGAAAACAACAGGTCACACGATTTTTTACTTATGACTAACGCCGGAGGTAAACAGTATGAAGGGGAAACTTTGGATGCAAGGGGGCGCGTAGATCTATGCGCATAGTACGGGTTTCATGCAAGGGATGGTATAGTAATGTACAATGTCCTTGTTTCCGACCTCTGATTTGTTCCTGAAGCTTTAAAGTTTTCTTGCTGAGAAGCAAAAGGGTTACAAGACATTTTCTATCCTCGGCATTGGCTACTGAACATACAGATCAGTGCCAGTGGTGGGAAATGAGGAGCTGAAGTGCTGTTTTGGCCACTTCTTGTCTCAGTGCAGGTATGAACACATCATACCGACCGTTCTATATGGAGCTATGAATTTCCCAAGAATAACTAAGTAGAACTGATGACGAGGCTAGCTCCTACACCATGCCGGGGCTTGGGGACATTCCGAATACTCATGTGGGATCGCCCGTCTTGCCGTCCTCTCTGCCATTGACTGCAGTATCGCCGATTATACTCGTGTGACAATGCACACAGGATAAGGCATGTTTGGGGCATTGAGTGTGGGACACGGAACGTAACAACACACAGTTGTCTTGTCATCGGTTGATAGATAGTCGATGCATATGTATTTTTTTTCTTTCTCAATTGTTGAAGGCAGGCCGTGGACAGCACGCGGCCATTGAATTGGGGGGGAGGGGGGTTGCAGAAATAATAACCTGAGACATCTCACTGGGAAGAAGACAGGGAAACAGGGGGAGAGAAGGGGAAAAAAGTATCAAGGTCTAGATCAATCTAAGATGTAGTATTGTTACAGTTAAGATTGTTTCTGATCTCTGCTGACCGCTACTTGAGTGCGATGGAAGATCTTGGGTTCGACAATCCCGCAGACGTACATGATCACTACCGTTGTTCTTGTCGCTTAGTAGTACGGATTGCAAGTGGTCGCACCTAATATGAAGGGTGCAACCCACACTTAGAAATAGATACCGTTCAAACGTTCTTGGGTGGAAGGTGTATCGCTTTTCTTCTATCAGTGTCAGTTTATCTCTTCTACCATCACCGGATTCTCAGTTTAAAAATTGGAAGTCCCTGCTCCACCCTAGAGCGTGAATATTACCGAGCGGAGAAAAGTTACCAAATCATGGATGGACTGGATGTTAAAAGTTCACCGAGCGCCATTCTTTCACACTGTAAAGACCACCATGGCGCGGTACAACCAGAGGTGTACAGCAACTTCGAGCCCGTCCCGTTCCCGATCGCAATTGTTGGCATGTCGATGAGGCTTCCTGGCGGTGTCAATGGTGAGAGGGAGCTCTGGGACTTATTGATCAACAAACGCGATGGCCGTTGCATAGTTCCCCAGGACCGATACAATATTGAAGCATTCTACGATGAGACTCGTCCTGGTGCGATTCGGACCCAGCACGGCTACTTCCTTCAGCAAGATATATCGCAGGTTGATGCTGGATTCTTCGCTATGAGCAAGCTAGAAGCCGGAAAACTCGACCCGCAACAACGAATACTGCTTGAGGTTGTATGGGAATGTTTGGAAAATGGGGGTCAACTCCCATCCCAATGCCGTGGAAAGGACATTGGATGTTATGTTGGAGTGTTTGGTGAAGACTGGTTGGATTTGATGAGCAAGGACACCCAGGCCATCGATCGGTTCAGGGTCGTCAGCGCGGCGGATTTCGCCCTTTCGAACCGAATATCCTACGAGTATGATCTGCGGGGCCCCAGTATCACATTTCGCACTGGTTGCTCTGCGGCCCTTGTAGGTCTACACGATGCGTGTCAGGCACTATACACAGGCGAATGTTCGTCGGCGTTGGTGGCAGGGACCAACTTGATCATCACACCAACGACCACTAACGCCGTCTCGGAGACTATGGCACTTTCTTCAGATGGAATTTCGAAAACTTTTGATGCTTCTGCAGATGGCTATGGAAGAGGAGAAGCTGTAAATGCAATCTACATCAAGCCGTTACATGCATGCCTCAGGGATGGGGATCCCGTTCGCGCTGTGATACGATCTACAGCGGTCAATTGCGACGGCAAGACACCTAGCATAACAACTCCAGGGTCGCAAGCACAGGAAGCACTCATCAGAAAAGCTTATCAGAAAGCAGGGGTTTCTGATATCAGTAAAACAGCGTTCTTCGAGTGTCATGGAACGGGCACAATCGTTGGCGACACAGCTGAAACAACTGTAATTGCCAATGTGTTTGGTCACGAAGGCATACATATAGGAGCGGTGAGTCGAGAATCGAAATAACCACAAGTCTTAATAATTCGATATCTGATACGTACTAGGTGAAACCAAACTTGGGCCATTCAGAAGGCGCTTCTGGAATCACCAGTGTGATCAAGAGCGTACTCGCGCTCGAGCACAGGATCCTTCCTCCCAATATACATTTCAATACCCCAAATCCTAACAGTGAGACATTTCCTTCCCTAGTGCTTTAGAGGATAAACTACTCATTCTTTATCTTCAGTCCCTTTCAAAGAAGCAAAGTTGCAAGTGCCTGTGGATCCAACGCCTTGGCCGGCAGGTAGATGTGAGAGGATCAGCGTCAATTCATTCGGTATAGGGGGTACCAATGCACATGTATGTATCACTACATTCAGCTCAATCATAATACTCCCAGATATTAGAAGAACATCTGCTAATGACTTAAGGTTGTCTTGGATTCTGCCCTCTCTGTAGGTGCAGTATCCCAGTCTGGGGTAGCATCCGACGAGAGACCAGGCGCACCACACCTTCTGCTCACCTCTGCCAAGTCGGCCGCATCACTGGATGGCAATATCAAAATAATCAGCGATTATCTACATGACGCCCCAACTGCTGCTGCAGATCTTGCATATACACTGGCGTTTAAACGAGAGCACATGCAACACCGAGCCTTTGCCATCGTGGAAAAAGATGGAACGATTTCGACATTCGAGAAAGCGCGTGCAATCAACCCGCAGATCTGCTTCGTCTTCACCGGACAAGGCGCACAGTGGCCAGGCATGGGACGAGAGATGATCCTGAGCTCTGAGAAGTTCCGGTTAGTCATACAAGAACTAGATAAGGAATTACAGAGACTGGAATCTCCACCGGATTGGAGTATCGAAGGCATGTCTTGATATCTTTCTTAACATGAGCTTGAATCTAACGACATCTAGAGGAACTAACGCATACTGACGATAAAAGCCGATTTCAGGAGGCTAAGTTCGCACAACCCCTTTGTACCGCCATCCAGGTGGCCCTGGTGGACTTCCTCCGGGAGCTGGGGGTCGTGCCGTCCATTGTGGTAGGACATTCGAGTGGCGAAATTGCCGCGGCGTATGCTTCAGGAGCAATTACCGCCGCCTCTGCAATCAAGATCGCATATTTTCGTGGACTGGCTATGGAGTTAGCAAAAGGAAATGGCGCTATGGCTGCAGTCGGTTTGGGGCGTGCTGAAACAGAGAACTATCTCAAGAATGGCGTGGTTGTGGCGTGCGAGAACAGCCCTGAAAGTGTGACCATCTCTGGAGACGAGCAAGCGGTCGATGAAATGTTGAAAGACATACAAGCACAAGGCGAGGTGTTCTGTCGGCGTCTTGCAGTTAATGTGGCTTACCATTCACACCACATGAATGAGGTGGGAGAACTATTCGAGTCACTACTTTCGGAAATTTGTTTCAATGAATCTATGACTCCACTAGTATCCACGGTTACAAACGAAACTATCTCTGACCCTTGCGCTCTGAGCCCCTCATACTGGAGAAAAAATGTCGAAAATCCAGTCATGTTCAGCACGGCACTGAGCAAGATATTGTGTGATGATGAAAAGGCTCTAGCGTTTGTTGAAATTGGACCACACTCGGTGCTCTCTGGCCCCTTGCGGCAAATCATCGCCGGTACAAATTCCAAGCGAAGCTGCTCATACACATCAACCCTTATTCGAAATGAGGACCAATGGAGATGCTTGATGAGCACGGCTGGGCAGTTGTACGCCCAGGGAATTTCTCTGGACCTATCATCGTTAGTCCGTCCTGCAGCCACAGTGACAGACCTTGCTCCCTACTCGTGGGATCATAATGAATCCTTCTGGAGTGAGACCCGTCTAACGAGGGACTGGAGGCTTCGGTCAGCTCCCCACCACGAGCTGTTAGGAAGTCGAGCTCTGGAGTCGAGCGACTTGGAACCCGTATGGCGGAATATGTTACAAGCTGAAAATGTACCGTGGTTATTGGAACATAAAATAGGGGGAGAGGTCGTCTTTCCAGGTGCCGGATACGTGGCAATGGTTGGGGAGGCTATGCGTCAGATTTCTCAGGTTCCCGAATATTCGGTGAAAAATGTGTTTATGCGAGCTGCTTTGGTGCTGAAAGAGGCGAAATTGCAGCACGTTGAGATCATCACGAGCCTTCGACCGGTGAAACTGACCGACAGTTTAGACTCCGGTTGGTACGACTTTACAATCACTGCATATAACGAAGGCGAGTGGAAGAAGCATTGCGTCGGCCAGGTGCGGGCAGAGCGAGATGGCTTCAGTCATGAAGATGGCACAGTATCTCCATACTCACGTGAGGTGCCGGCCAAGGAATGGTACGACGCTTTGGAGAAGCGAGGACTGGAGTACGGCCCCAATTTTCGCGGGCTTCGAGACATTACCGCAAGCCCTACAACCACCGAGGCCGCAGCGACGCTATATGAGCCTACCGCGCTAACCGGTAGTTGCTATGCTCTCCATCCTGTCGTGATAGACCAATGTCTCCAGCTGTTGAGTGTAGCAGGAGCCAAAGGAATTCAGCGTTCCATGACTCAATTGTGCATCCCCACCGCTATTGAGAGTCTATACGTTGCGCCCGGACAAGAGGTGATGTCTTTGAAATCAACATGCGATGCAGCTGGAAACACGTTCACTGGGGATGCTTTATTGCTTGCGGGTGAAAAGCCTGTGCTTTCTTTGAGGCGTTGCTTCTTCTTTGGAATCAGTGAGTCCGCGATCAACGATGAAAATGGCGCGTCCGCCGCAACTTTGCACTGGAAGCCTCATCTAGATTTTTTACCACTAGAGAGCCTAATCCCACCAATCCCAGCCGACATAGATCGCGGGCGAATGGCTGTGGAGTTGACGAACTTATTCATATTGGAGGCATACCACCGGACAAGGTCATCCAGACCAACAAAGGAGCACCTCAAAAAGTACCACAAGTGGTTGCTCTCCCAGTACGAAAGAATAAAGAGCGAAGACCCCAGCCTTGTATTCGAAATGGATAAGTCTGGCTCCAATCCCGAAGGGTATCTGTCGCAGATCGAAGAGTTCGGCGAAAGCATCGAGCATGCTTTGGTGAGCAGTGTATATACTGCCGGTTATGAGATGTTGTCACATATTGCAGGCATTTTAGATGACAGCCTCGACGCCCTTGAGATTATTAGCGGAAGTGATGCGGTCAGTAGTATGTATCAGGAGTCCTCTCGTCTATGTCCGGCGGAGAATTTCCTGTCACTGCTCAGCCATTCCCGACCAACACTCAGAGTCCTGGAGGTTGGTGCAGGGACAGGCGGCGCCACCTCGGCAGTTCTCGATGCCCTTTATGATGCAACAAAGCACGAGGGTCCTTTGTACTCCAGCTATACATTCACTGATATTTCAGCTGGGTTTTTCGCAAAAGCAAAAGAGCACTTTAGGACCTTCCCTGGTATGATATACGAGACGTTCGACATATCCAAGGACCCTGAGGACCAAGGCTTTGCCGTGGAGGGCTATGACTTGATCATCGCTTCAAATGTTGTTCATGCTACCCTGAGAATATCGACCTCGCTTCGCAACCTGAACAAACTTCTGGCTCCAGGGGGGTGGCTTTTCCTCACAGAGCTCTGTCCCGGACTCCCCATGATCAATTTCATCATGGGTACCCTCCCAGGCTGGTGGAATGCAGAGGATTCAAGGGAGACACCAGTGGTTCCTGTCTCACGATGGCATCAAGAGCTCCTGGATGCGGGATTCACTGGTGTGGATATTGTCCGCTACGACAACGAACCACCATACGAGACTAATGCTTACATCCTGTCACGGCGACCTCAGGCCAGGGCATCTCTAAATAAAGAGATTGGTTTCCTTCATAAGGGCAAGATCCCTAGTTTGGCGTACACACTTGCACAGGCTTACACACACCAAGGCGTCAAGGTCACTTGGTTGACCTTGAACGACCTGTCTTCTTCGATAACGGACGTCATATCCTTCCTTGACATGGATAGCCCTTTCTTGGACAGTCTCTCGGATGATGAGTTCCGTGCCTTTCAAGGCTTTCTGTCTAGTGTCAAAGGCCACTGCCTCTGGCTGATGCCGCCGGTTCAATTTGGCGGTGGAGATTCAGACCCTCGATTCGGCCTAACCCTGGGATACATGCGAACGGTAAGGAAAGAAATCTCTACAAATTTTGCAACGCTTGAACTCGAGCAGAATGAATCTGGTGCAGCAGAGAAGATTGCGCTTGTATTCGAAAGAATCTGTCGACAATCAGGCAAGAACCCGATTAATGAGGACTACGAGTTTGCCCTTAAAGATGGAGCAGTTCATGTCGGTCGATTTCGCTTCCAATTCCTCCACCAAATGATGGCTGCCGATGATAGCTTCGAGCAGAGATCTTTAGATATTGGGTGCTTCGGTATCTTTGATTCTCTGACTTGGGCTCTGGATGGGCGTGTGGGACAGCTTGGGGAACACGACATAGAAGTGGATATCCGCTTTGTGGGGCTCAATTTCAGAGTAAGCCATTGTCCATCGCCTTCAGTGTTTCGATGCTAAAGTCTGCTTGTTTAGGACATCATGATATCGATGGGATTGATGGGAGAAACTTCCGAGATCGGACTTGAAGCGGCCGGTATTGTCCGCAATGTGGGATCAGGGGTACAGAATATTCAAGTCGGAGATAAGGTCTCAATTTTTGGAAAGGGCTTAATGGGCACTCGAAAAATAGTGCCCGCAGAGACTTGTCTTGTGCTCCCGGAAGGATTGTCCCTCAAAGATGCAGCAGCAGGTCCCTGCGTATTCTCCACCGCTCTCTACTCGTTGGTGAAGTGCGGAAATCTACAAAAGGGGCAGACAGTTCTGATCCACAGCGCGTGCGGCGGTGTCGGCTTGGCCGCAATTCAGATATGCCAGTCAATTGGAGCCGAAATATTCGCCACGGTCGGAAGCTTAGAGAAGAGAAAACATCTTATGGGAGAGTTCAACCTTCCCGAGGATCATATATTTGATTCGAGGAGCGTTAGCTTCCATAGGGATGTGATGAAGGCGACTGGTAATAGAGGAGTGGATCTCGTTCTGAACTCTCTTTCCGGCGAACTATTGCATGCCTCTTGGAAATGTGTTGCCCCCATGGGTAAAATGATTGAGTTGGGTAAGCGTGACTTCCTCGGTCATGGTAAGCTGGATATGGACCTCTTTATGGGAAACCGAACCTTCATTGGTGTGGATCTTCTTCAAATTGGCGAGCAGAATCCTGAGGTTATTCGAAGCTTAGTGCAGCAATTTGCTCATTCTATCGAACAAGGGAAGCTCCGTCCTATCCGGCCTGTTACTGTTTTCAAGGCGTCCGATATTGCTAAAGCATTTAGGCATATGCAGACTGGCAAACACATGGGCAAGATTCTGGTGGAAATGCCAGAAAAACCATCTGATTTACAGGTGTCTAAGCTGCAGGCTAAAGGGGCCCTGTTCCGCAGTGATGCTTCTTACTTGTTGGTTGGTGGGCTTGGAGGTCTCGGGCGTGCAGTGGCAAGATGGATGGTGGAGAAGGGCGCCCGGCATTTGCTATTCATGTCCCGGTCTGGCTTGGAGACAACCAAGGCTCGAGAATTTGTCCTGGATATGGAATCTCAGGAGAATTGTCACATTCAGGTAGTGACAGGTGATGTCACCAATATCAACGATGTTGAACGGGTCGTATCTGCCGCGGTACGGCCCATAGCGGGAATTATGCAATTATCCATGGTGCTACGAGTAAGTTTCCCTGCTATACACTCGTTTTGCAATCAACATTCTCTTGTTATCGTGAAATGCATACTAACTTTTGTGTCAAACAGGATCAAACGTTAGATAAATTGGCATACGAGGAGTGGACTGAGGCACTCGCTCCGAAGGTCCAAGGCACGTGGAATATTCATCACGCAACGCGAAATTGCTCCTTGGATTTCTTCGCTCTACTTAGCTCTGTCTCTGGTACTGCCGGTCATACAGGACAAGCAAATTATGCGGCTGCCAATACCTTCTTGAACGCTTTTGTCACTTATCGTCACTCCAAAGGGCTACAAGCTAGTGTACTCGATATTGGCTTTATGGGAGATATTGGAGTTGTCGCTGAAACATCCCATAAAATTAGGGAAATGGTGGAAATGAGCTCATGGGAAGTGCTGGAAGAGCCTGATTTACTCAAGGCCCTGGAAATACAAATCATGCGAGGTGCTCCCCACCTTTGCATAGGAATGGGAACAACGAAACCAGTATCACAGATCGAGAACGGCAGCACGTTTGGGCAAGATGCACGCTTCCTGGCGTGGCATAACATGCTAACTGCGTCGGAAGGTGGGAGAGCTAATCAGGATAACGAGCTCAAAACGTTGGTCAACGCGGTCAAGCGCGACCCCTCTCTTCTCTACGATCCAGCTACTGAGACCAAGATTACGCTCGAAATCGGTCGAATGGTTGCCTCGAACATGTCCTATCCCGATGACATGCCGTATGAGGAGCTATGTGAGATTGCAATTGACTCGTTGATGACCATCGAGATACGTAGCTGGTTCCGGCGAAATGTCGGCGTTGAGGTATCACTCGCTCAGATATCGAAGGCACAAAACGTCAAAGGACTCGGCGCGATTACCATGCAGGTCCTCCGTGAGAAGCACAAGTCCGGGGAGCTTGAGAACGCGAAGGGGTCTCTTGTCGGTAACGGCAAAGACGATGTTGATGAGAGCGTGCTCTATCGGGCGGACTTGGAGTTGGCTAAGTCTCTAGAGCCAATATCAGAGCACGTTCCGTGCTGGCATTCCGAATCTGAAGGACGGGTGTTTGTGACCGGATGCACCGGGTTTCTGGGTGCCTTCTTTCTCTCTACTCTAACTAGTCACCCGCGGGTGAAGGAGATCGCGTGCTTGGTGCGAGCGCCAGATGCCGCAGCAGGCTTGGCACGTATCAAGGAGAACCTGGAGCACTACGGACTGTCATTGGACTCTGAATCTAAAGTCATCGTGGTACCTGGCGATCTCACCGACTCGACACTGGGACTCGGGCAAGAGAAGTACGAACATTTCGCTCAATGGACCAGTGTTATCTTCCACCTTGCCGCCCAATGCAACTACATGCCTTCATACTCGGAGCTCCGCGGCGCCAATATCCATGGGTTCTCGAATATTCTTCGGTTCGCCAATACGAAGCGCCTCAAGCCCGTACATTATACCTCCAGCATTTCAGCCTGCGGAACATCTGCATATCTCGAGGGTAGGGAGCTTATCGGCGAGAATGAAAGACCCGTCCTCAACACTACGGGCTCCGAAAGAAAGCTTGTCGGTTACAGTGAGACCAAGATCGTGGCCGAAAGCATCGCCTGGGATGCCATCGCAAACGGCATGCCAGTAACCATCCATCGCCTACCAGTCATATCCGGCCACAGCAAAACAGGCATTGCCAACCCCACGGACGGTTTCCAACATATGATGGTCAGCGCCATTCGCGTTGGATGCTACCCCTCTCCCCCGGCCGCCCGCTGTCAGATGATCCCAGTCGACTACGCCAGCTCAGCGATCCTGGAAATCGCGCTCAGCAATCATCACAGCCATGCCTACAACCTTGTCATACCTGACCAGTCTCATACGCTGACATGGGATGATGTTCTGGACACGGTGGCACATTATACGTCCCCCCCGTTGAAACGGGTATCGGCTTTAGAGTGGGCTGATATTGTGGCAACGCATGGTGAACACCATTTCAAAGTCGCGTCGACGTTCTTGCAGGATAAAATTCGGGAATTATTGGTGTACTGGGAGGCGGAGACGATGACGAAGACTGTGTATGAGAATGCGAATAGTCGGCGTGTTTTGCTTGCGTCGTCGGATATGCCGGAGTTGCCTTCTATGCTGGAGCTGTTGAGTAAGTACTTTAAGGTTTGGCAGAAGGAGGAGCAAAAGCAGCATCGGTGATGTCCGGGTTGCTGGGTTGAGCTGGGGGAATGGTGAGGAGGGCAAGGACAAAGTCAATGAAGTATCTATCATAGGAATAAATTGTTGATTAGGATATAATAGGAACGAGGCGATGATTATGATTATTAATTGCATTAGTAACCTATCAATTAGGTTGCCAAGAACTACTGTACAGACCATTTAGCGTAAATATCAGCTTTTAACACCCCGAAATATTGGAGTAATATTTTGAACTATCGAGGCCAAGTAAACAATCAATACCAATCACGTACACAAGCACTGATTGTCACGATGTTCGTGAAATACACCGTCGAAACCTCAGTATACACATCCTCTGCAGGCTGCAAAATCGTTGGAGAGGCCATGACAGCAGTGACGGGATAGATTGTAGTGCCCACGGTGATGGTCTCGGTAGTGAGGAATGTAGTTTTATCCGTATTAGGACAGTCGGTCACTTGATCTGGACAGGAAGTGACAGTGTGGACTTGGGTGGTAAGGATTGTGAAAGTGGTAGAGTGTCCTCCGTGTGAGGAAGCAGACTCCGGAAGGCTGCTGTTGTAGGTACTAATAGCGGGCTGCGGAGGGGTTAAATGGCTCGGTAGATTGGTGCTTTGGTTCGTGAATGAAGGCATATATGGTACCGATGTAGATGCCTGAGGAAGTTTGGTTGACTCCGGACTCGACGATGCGTGGATAGATGTGGTGGATGCTATGTTTTGGCTTGATGATTGCAGGGATACCCAAGGGCTTGGATGTAAAGATAAAGCCGAACTTGATGTGATTGCAGGACGCGAGGTAGTAGACATCGCAAGTCTTGAACTCGGAGTTAATGTTAAAGTATCGCTGGATGAAGGCGAATGTGAGCTGCTGAGCTGTATAGCGATGGAGGAACTTGCGGCAGCGGATGGCTGGTTCGGCATGGATGACTTTTCCGAGGTCGTGAAAGATGAAGAGTCAACGATAGATGCAGACACAGAGGCCAACGACAACTGTATCACTGGTTTTGAGGTAAATACCGACGAGGGAGTAGTGGTTCCCAGGGAGGTGACCCGAGTGCTGGAAATTGCGGGGATAGAACTGGATACTGCGACTGGAGATGTGGAAGTTGGCATAACTTGTGGAAGTTGGCATAACTGACACAGAGCCAGTCTGAGTAGATAATATATCCGGCATAGTGATAGTTGACGTGTATGTCACAACAGACACGATGGTGGATGTTTGCGTCATAAGGCCCGTCGATATAGAAGTCTCGGTAACTGTGCAAGGATTGGTGGTGAAGCGCATCGCCGCCCTGTAAGAGGCAGCAGAAGTAGCAGTGAGCGAGCCAGTTAGGAGGTAGCAAGCACGGATCGCCGTATTGTAATTGACGCCGTTACACTCAGTACTTAATTGCCAGCATATCAGCTCGCATTCATATAATGATGCGTAGTTTGCCGAGGTGACAGTCGTCCCTCCCTCTAGAGAGACGCCCGAACACCATTGTTGGAACCAGTTGCCGACGAGAGACCAAGCACCGTCCAAGGTACAGAATGGGTCCGCATACGACTGGGTAGCACAGGTGGTAGTGGTGGTTGAAGCTGAAAGACTGGTGATTGTTCTGGTCACTGTGTCGGTATAGGTAGATGTCAAAGTCTCAACTGAGACCCTGGCTGCTGCTTCTGGCTGGACGGTCAGAGCCGCAGTCAATTGAGACAGGGGTAGCAGAACAGTCAGAGATCTTGCTATTATTCTCCCCATGATTCCAATGGCTGAAATGATCAAAAGAACGTAATGGTGTGTGTTGGGAGAGAATAGACCGTGTTGCGGTGTGAAAGAATGACTGAAAGGAACGAACGACAACAGCCCTAATTGTCATCTTCCTTTGTGGGCGCCCATTCTTTTATAGCCATCATGATAGAGATAAACGAGGTACTATTGGCGGGTACCTGGCCTTGGACTGGGCTAGCGGAAGTTTTCCAGTTGCTAATATGATAAGTGGAACTGCAGAAGCAGGTTTGGATATAGTAGCCGACAAAAGCTTTTAGCGTCAAGAAGTGGCAGAAGCCAGAGTATCAGCCTCAATGTGGTAAATACATGAAATTACTGTAAAAGCAAAAACCGAAGGTTTCAGAAACATCATTTGAGAAAGATATGGGTCCCAATAGGTGGCACTGTCGCCGGATAATCAGCATGTAGGGTTCAATTTCCATAGCATCTCCGGTATCGCTGCGGGCTAAGATGGTGATGGCACCAGTCCAGAACAGACTGTGACTATGATCACAGTACTCTAATAGGCCTAGTCTCTCAATAACCCGGTCAGGGCTTCATGTATCAGCAAACATATGTGGCTCCGAACTAGAAGCATATTCAAGCTCAAGCATAGAACATGACCCAAGTGGGTCAGTTACCAATGACCGGAGATGGTTGTGCGGGAGCTGCGATGTCCGCCCGCAGCAATGATCAAAGGATGCTGCGATCATGCAATAAGAGTGATTTTCCGCCTAGATTTTACCATTCCCTGCATCTTACTTGATCCATATATTGGCTGGAGAATCCTTTTCCGAAATGCCACCATGCCGATCGCGTTGACTCCAAGTCAGCGAGCGACAGCTCCACCGATATCGGCCCGTGGCTAGCCATCCACAGCAGCTATAAAGGAAGCAACGAATACATGCCATTCCATTTCTCATCAACAAATCTTCATCCATACTTCAGAAAATAAAAAAAAGCAAAATGCCTGAGACAGCAACATACACTCACGGCCATCATGCCTCCGTGCTTCGGTCCCACGGACAACGGACCGCCCTCAACTCCGCTCAATACCTCCTGCCACACCTCCAACCTCACATGAAGATCCTAGACATCGGCTGTGGTCCGGGCACCATTACTGTGGACTTGGCTACTTATGTCCCGAACGGCTACGTTACGGGCCTGGAAATGGTCGACGATGTCTTACCAGGCGCCCGACAGGTCGCCGAATCGCGAGGAATCAACAACATCGAGTTCGTCACGGGTGACGCCAACAACCTGGCTTACGCCGATGAATCATTCGATGTGGTCCTCTGCCATCAAGTTCTACAGCACGTGGGAGATCCCGTGAATGTTTTGAAGGAGATGCGCCGTGTCTGCAAGTCTGGCGGTATTGTCGCCGCGCGCGAGTCAGATTACTCGGTCTTCGGGTGGTACCCAGAACTCCCTGGACTACGACGCTGGCTGGACCTGTATGATCGGGTGGCTCGAAAGAATGGAGGCGAGCCCAATGCAGGTCGGTACTTGCATGTCTGGGCACGTCAAGCTGGATTTGAGAAGCCGAAGGTCGATTGTACTGTGAGCGCGTGGTGCTTTACGAAGCCGGAAGAGGTTCAGTGGTGGAGTGGAACATGGCAAGAACGTGCGTTGAAGTCGGCCTTTGCTAAGGGAGCCCTAGATAATGGATTCGCGACGTTGGAGGAGCTCGAGAGTATATCCAATGTTTGGCGTCAGTGGGGGGAGGATGAGGATGCTTGGATATCCATTCCCAGTGCGCAGATTATCTGTCGTAAATAGAGATATCATGGCTTATCAGTTATCGGTCGGCGGATAGAGTCGGTCTTATGGGCTTCGAACCCCGAGGCATTTCTTCGGAATAGTTGTGGCTACTATACATGTAATCCACTCGAGACTTTAGTGTGCATATTGGCTTAGGTAATTTTTGAGTACCTAGATGTCAAATCTTGTAATTTGATTTGTCTGCTCGTAGTACTGTGCCTCCAGAGCTTCCATCATAGATGCCCAGTACGTATCCAACATGATGCTGATTGGGTCATCTTCGTTTTTCGGCGATTCCTATTGGGCGGTTCGCATTCCCACGCCCGTGATTGGCTGGCCAATCGTAGCCCCATCTGTGCTTGATTGTGTATGCCTCAGAAATCCTGGATACGGGTTTTACAATGGAGTTTGATGCTTGAAGGAAACCATAAGTTCCAGTAGCTGATGAACCCTTACATCCTCTTTGAACGGCATATAAATATCCGCTCTACAACCCCCCTAGTCTCATCATCTTTCCATCCCATACACTAGAACTCGTCCATCATTCCAAGTGCATCAACCCAACTTTACTACTATTGAGTCTACTTCACAAATCAATTAACCCAACAATGTCCACCCTCCGCAAGCTAGGCCATAGCGGTCCCCTTGTCAACGCTATTGGTCTCGGTACCATGAGCATTGCCGGTGCCTACGGCCAACAAAACACCCGGGAAGAGAAGCTCGCCTTCCTAGACCACGCTCACTCCATTGGACAGCGATTCTGGGACACGGCTGACATCTACTTCGACAGCGAAGCCGTTATCGGGGAGTGGTTCAAGCGGTCTGGCAAGCGCGAAGACATCTTTCTAGCAACAAAGTTTGGTCTTAGCTATGATGCCAGCATGCAGCAAAGTATTCGATCTGACCCGGAGTATGTCCGAATGGCATGTAAGAGGAGCCTGGAGAAGTTGGGTGTTGAGACTATTGACTTGTATTATTGTCATCGGGTGGACGGGGTGACTCCTATTGAGAAGACCGTGGAGGCTATGGTTCAGTTGAAGAGGTGAGCTATAACTTCAAATGTGCTACGATAGGTTGCTTACATGAGATTTTGGATACAGAGAAGGGAAGATTCGCTATCTAGGACTTTCGGAGGTCTCCGCTGCTACTCTGCGCCGTGCACATGCTGTTCATCCCATCTCAGCACTGCAAATTGAGTACAGTCCATTCTGCTTGGACATCGAGTCTCCCCAGTCTGACGTGCTTCGTACATGTCGCGAGCTGGGCATTGCTGTGGTGGCGTATAGTCCCATAGGTCGGGGGTTATTGACGGGCCAGTTCAAGTCGAGAAGTGACCTGGGAGAGCAGGACTTTCGATGCATGATTCCAAGGTATTCTGAAGGCATGGACAGAATCCTGAGTATAGTGGAGAGGTTCAAGGAGATTGGAGAGGCACATGAGTCTACGCCGTCGCAGGTTGCGCTGGCGTGGCTGCTTGCTCAAGGTCCGGAGGTTATTCCCATTCCAGGTACCCGGAGTGTTAAGTACCTAGAAGAGAACGCTTCAGCGGTCGATGTGAGATTGAGTGACGAAGAGGTTGCTGAGATTAGGGATCTGGTGCAGAAGGCCAACTTTGTGGGAGATCGTTATCCTGAAATGTAAGTTTCTTGGTGATAGAAAAACTACTGGCTGGTAACTTTGTCTAACTGCGTCTAGTATGCCAATCTTTCCTGATACTCCGGAACTGTGAACTATATCATCCTGACTGCGGAATATGGGTTGGATAATATTTTGCAGATCCGTAATCAATATTTAATGATTGCAATAATTGATATAGCCAGTCAATGAACTCAACGTGCTGTTACCAAATTGTGGCGCAGATGCCCAAATAATCGGACTTCAATCTAGAAATTGAAGTTAATATCTTCTGTTCCCCAAGAAAACCTGAGTTCCTTGCTTAACATCTAATCACTTTTGATTCTTCAACTGCGACAAAACCGCGCTGTTTCTCAGAGTATCTTCCAGTGTAGTCAAGGGTTCCAACAAAACCTATGACAATGTGCAACGGCAGTTAGTATTGTTCAAAAGTACAAGGAAGCATAAGCAAAACTCATTATTGACTTGCCTTGTGGCTTTCCTCGAATCCGGCCCCGCCGAAGTATCCATACTCCTGGATATACTGAGCGGCCTGAGAAACACCCTCACAAACAACGTCAGGAAATCCCTTGGTAGCCATTCCGGCCTTGAATGTCTCCTTATCCACCGATTGGAAGCTTATATCTACACCAGTACCCTTTGCTACGGCGATAATATCTTCGAAAGTATATTCCTTTCCGGCGACATTACAGTTTTGGCCGAGCGACTTGCCAGGATTCAGAAGGATACCCTTGACAAACTTACCCAGGTCAGCAGTGGGGTCAATGATGGGCACTTTGGTCTGGGCGCTTGCTGGTTCGGAGAAGGCTAGCATGTATGAAGGAGGTGTTGTCGGAAGAGGTGTCAGTATCTCAAAGAAAAACGTAGCGTAGATGGCAAGGGTGACAATGGTGTGCGGGATCGAGAGCTGGCGGATGTAGTCATCAACACGAGCTTTGCTGTCGAAATGCACCACGCCAGTGAGTTTATCATTGGTGACTATCCTTCATTAGTCACACATCACAACAATACAGAAACGACACAATGAGTGAAGATAATGAAGTGACATACTCCGCGAGATGCTAGGTAAGCTGCTCCAGATAAGATGCTTGACATCCAATTCCTTTTCGTTTTAGCATATCTCCACAATGTACTAATATGTCCTACCTTAGCAATATCAGCCACGTTCATGCCTTGTCTAGTCTCGGCGGCAGCATCAAAAGTCTCCCAGAAGTTCGTGACCGCAAAGACAGCATAAGCATCTTTGATAGCTAAGCGAAGGGAGTCTTTGTCTTCAAGGTCGGCCTATTGTCGTCTTCGTCAATGACTGCCCCGTAAGCCCAGTGGGGCGGTTGGGTGTGACCTACCTTCATTAACTCCACACCTTGCTGAGCTAGAGTTTTGGCAGCCTGCTTGGAAGGGTCTCTGGTGACTGCCCGGATGTTGAACTGCTTTGATGCCGCAGGATCGGCCAGGATTGCTCGAACAACCGAGCCACCTTGAATGCCCGTGGCACCGAACACGACGAGGAGCTTCTTGTCTTCGGACATATTGAGAATCAAAGGTCCTGTAATGTGAGATAGCAGAAGAAAAGTAAAAGGGTGTGGATTTGTGGGGACTGGTTATAAGCAGCAATTGTACTCTATGAAATGCCAATGAGATGGTGCTTTTTGAGAGCCTGAAGACTGTTGCTGTAGTTAGGACAGGAGCACGTATTTATATTTGGCACCTTATTCCCTACAGATAAGCTAAGTCATTCTGAATTTCTAAAGATGATAAATGCTCTATGGAAAAGATCAGCGTCCATCGTCCGAGACAGAAGACTCAGAGAGGGTTATATCACTAGCTGCACTGTGATTGGCTCTCTCGCAATACCTTCCAAAAGGGCTTAGCGCTGACAGAACATGTGATGGGAGTCTTTATCTGTTCCTTCCAGTTGTTCTTCCTCGTCTTTCTTCTCAGTAATGCTTTGAGCATGAGTCATTTATTTGTCTACATCATGAATTTCGTCTTTGTGCAGCATTACCTATGTGATGTAGCCTTGCCTACTACCGTTGCATGAACGACAGCGATCTTAACCCACGGCCGGTATCGGACCAGCCGATACTATCAGAATGGTCCGCCACGGGAGATTATCAAGAGGCTGCCAGGTCTGTAGGACGAGAAAGATCAAGGTACTGCTCATTAGTCTCACTCTAATACAAATTTTTCTATGGTTTTATCCTCTTATACTTTATATCAATGCTTATCGGATGGACCCAACAGTGCGACCGGGCGCGACCGCATTGCAATCAATGCCTAAAATCTGGATGGAAATGTCCACAGTATGGTGATACTATAGAGAGGATGTTTCTTCATCATAACCCAGAGAATCCAGACTCAGATTATGTTCCCAATGCGACAATTGCCTTGCCGGTTATATGTAATACGGCAAGAGTACAAAATCCTGCATTATCAACTGCCAACATATTAGGCGGGACCATAGTCCAGTCCACAGAGTCTCGTGCGATCGAGTTCTTCATGTCGGCTCATACCTTCCATAACACCGGCCTCATTCGGGGCCATTTCGAGTATCTATCCATATTTAACGATTATGTCATGAATGAGCAACGGATTGTCGCGAGTCTCCGTGCTGTTGCGCTAGCAGCTTAAGCTACCAAGTTTCAACATGTTGCTCTTCTCAAGAAAGCCAGACAGTATTACGTTGCAGCGCTTCGACATATCAATGCAGCCTTATTGTCCTGCCATGAAGCAGCAAAGAATGCTACCATTATCTCGATTTTGTTACTAAACACCTTTGAGGCTCTGACTTGTGAGAGTGAGGACTTCCCCTATCAAAGAGAGACTCACTTAAAAGGTGTAGCGTCGATATTGGACATTCGAGGGGTGGGACTTGTGCAATCTTGTCCCGGGCTTCAGTTGTTTCGTCAAACCCTCCTCTGCATTTCAGTGACATGCATAATGCGCTCATTTCGAATACCCATGGGATTGGTAAAGCTTCACCGCCACACTGCTGCTTACATGGATACTAGTGATCCTGCGTGGAAATTGTCAGATATCATGATAGAACTGTCCTATTTCCACGCAATGGTCAAGGACCGTACGCTCTGCGATCCTGAGAAAATAATTGCATCTGCCAAAGAAATAGACCACAACCTCTGCTCGCTCGCGGGGAACATGCCCGAAGCTTGGCAATTTCAGGTCATCGAGTTAGTGACTACATCTGAACCCGTCATGGGAACGCAGTATCATGTGTATCCTGATGCATGGGTCGCAGGTGTGTGGAACAACATCCGTGCATGTCGGTTACTTTTGCATGGTGAGATCAAGCAGCAATTGGAGAGTGTGCTGGACACTTCTCTATACGATGCTGTCCAGTATCAGCACTCAGTCATAATAATGCAACAGGTCGTTTCAGACATTTGTGCTTCCGTGCCTCAATACTGTGGTTACCTACCAGTAAAGTCTGGTAGTGTATCATACACGCAAACAGTCAGCAATGGGATCCCCGCTATCGCCGGTATCTACCTCCTATTCTGGCCTCTGTTATATGCCGGGCAGATGGCTAATTCGGAATATCAGCGAGATTGGGTCATCAATCGCATGCGCTATATCGGCGAAACAACCGGTATTCAGCAAGCCTTTGTGTTTGAGGATATACTAAAGCGGGGTGTGGACCCTTTTCAATAGACAAATGCCGAGAGCAGGGGTCTTGTCGGCTCTGATTGTGACGATCACAGTATCGTAAGAGATCATTCGGGAAGGCCATGGGTGTCTCGGGTAAATTGTATATCCTATTGCTGGATATAATGGATATGAAATGTATAAATACAACAAGGGTCCGGACGGGATAGACCTGTGTAAGCTGTGCAGAGAATGAAAGACAATGCCATTCCAGGACCAGTATTAGGATTGTTGAAGCCAACCCATCAAAATGATTTGGGCGGCAGCGAAAGTAGAGTCCATTAGTTGGTCGAAACCTCACTCACAATGTGGGCTGGTGATATGTACATAGCCGATCGGATGATCGGCAAAAAAAGAATTCTCCCCGACTGGGAGTCGAACCCAGGTCTCCCGCGCTTGTTCCCGAAAGGGATTGACAAGCGGAAATCATGACCGTTAGACCATCGAGGATTGGATGAAGTACAATATGCTAATAAGTGTACTATATTGCAAGATGAAGCTGTTCTCAAATTCACCCTGATAGCGGCCGGTCGGCATAGTGAGCTTCACAGTGACTTCTCTGTAAGCATGCTAAAACACACCCCATCATGCATGGGATACCGAATCTCTTCATTTTCTATTAGTCAGAACTTGACTTGAATCTCTCTGTCATATTATTACCGGCATTTTAACGCAATTATAAGGTTGCTACACGTTATTCGTGCTATGTCAATGCCCGTTGACGAAAGTATATATGCCTCCACCGAACGGCTTGAACTTCATTGCAACAATTGGTAGGGCATCAACAGTCAATATATGCCTTCCACTTACGTATGTTACCAGTCAGAGATATCCCATCTGTGGCTTCCACTGGTCACAGTGTATCTTAAAGTTAATGACGTTGACATCCACCCAAACAAAAATGAGCAGTAGACCGTAAGGTAATGGACCAGTTTAACTTTGAAGGGAACCGGAATTTATTTCAAGATGGACCTAATGGTTTCATGCCTCACCCTCGCTACCAGAGCCATTCTTGTCTACCCCTTGCAGATACTAGGCTCGCGAACGGGGATCCATCTAAACCGCGGAAAATGAAGCAGACAACTTCACGGTAGACATGGGGAAAAGGATCGAACGAATATCACAGAACCCCCCCGGGGATGCTGTTAGAAATTCTTAGATCACATCTCGAGACCATGAGAATACTACCAGTTTTGCGACCGCAACAGAGCATGAAAATCCATGCCAGCAGCGAACGATTTCTACCCAGATGAATGCAGAAGTTCCTCACAATGCCAATACAACTACAGCTCCAAGGGCGCTGATTATTAGCGGTATTCTACTGCTTATAGCGCTGGCCTTATACGTTCTTCGAATGTACACGCGCTTTCGTCGAGTATATAAGATTAGAGCCGAGGATCTCATATTATCGCTAGCAGTGGTAGTTTTACCTCATATCAAGCACCGAGAAGCAGTTCTGACGATCTAAACAGGCCTTGGAAATTGTAGCATACTCCATGATGGCCGCAGCAGCTTCCTATGGCCTTGGTCGATACGACAAATTTCTTACACCAGACAACAGAGCCCAAGCCCTGCGGTTCGTCTTCACCTACGAAATGACGGGTATATGGGCTGGAGCACTGTTACGAGTTTCAGTAGCAATAATACTTATATCACTTCACCGGGCTAAGATATGGCAGGCTATTCTGTGGTGTGCAGTATCTGTTCAGCTTGCAGCAGCGCTAGCTTCGACCATCTGTCTCTTTATCCAATGCAGACCCTTGCGTGCGATGTGGGATGTCGTCCCTAATGCTAGATGTTGGGCACCGCCTCAACTACATATATATGGCTTTGTATATACTGGTAAGTATCTAACATGCCGTGATTTTTCGAAAAAGCACAATATAAAGCTAATATGACACCCTGGCTGGCAGGTATCGGCATCCTTACCGACGTCATATTCGTTATCATGCCATTACCCATAATCTGGCGACTACATCGACCTTTACGAGAGAGGCTCATAATCGCGTTTCTGTTGTCTCTGATTCTCTGTGCTACGGCTGCCGCTAGCGTAAAGCTCTACTATGTACGAGTCATTGTGCTCGAAGGAGAGCAGCTACGTTCGCTAGTGGCGCCGACGTTATGGAGCAGAATCGAAGAGATCGCCCTTATTGCTGCCGCTTGTGCACCTTCGCTAAAGTCTTCGACTGAAGATGGCCTACGTCAGTGTTGGCATTGTTGTGCGAGACATCGTCAGCAAGAGCGACCGAGCAGTTGTGTATCTGAATCGGACCGTTCCAGTTTACACGCCTTTCTGGATCAGTATGCGTCTGCCTCACTACGTGTGCCGGAGCGGGCGTACCGGAAACTTGAGGGAGTCTGAAACTTTGGTGCTATGGATCATAAAGTTGTGATATTTGCGATGACCTTGGTGAGTGCCTGGATAATGGCGGGATTTTGCTGGTTTCCCTAAGATTGACAGGACCCGGGAGTGGGGGATTGGAGAGTTGAACCAAATATCTGCAGTGTGTTGCTTATGGGCTGTAATACTATCCTCACTGATTGACCTTTTAGTCTTCGAGGAGGAAGTCGACAAGCCTACCAGGAGACTCGGTAATCGAAACTGTGTATGGTATGACACATAACCGATGCGTTGAATTAATTCGAGACACGTACATATCTAAGGACAGTTCAATCTGGAAACAGGATATAAACCAACCAAAGACATTCTCTATCAATATAACATATCAGATATTCTGGGGAGGAACTGACCCGGATATCAAATGCGTCAAGAGGAACCAGTGTGTTCCCCCGTATAGTATGCAATGAAGCTCATCAACCCAGTCCTTAACCATCGCGAGATATCCTACAAATTCAGGCTTTTCTGCCCTCGGGGCCTATAGATCTTGATCACTGAAGCTCGGGTTCCTGGAAAGAGGACTCCTTGGAACTTGTGTAATGGCACTCTTGTCCTCAAAAATACCATCATTAGCCTCCCTAACAGCATTGCCAGTGCTTGGTACCGGTGCGAAGGGGTGCGAAATGCTCTCACGGACAGGGTGAGCCGTGCCGGTTTGGATATCGCCGTTGTCGGTCACTCGGTGAGCTGCGGAGAGGGCATAATCTCCTGAATCGAAATAGGTCCGTTTCTAATGACTGTCAGCTATGATGAAGAGTTATCATGGTGTTGTAATACCTTAGGCTGCTGTCCGAGGCTGCCCCCACAAGGCAATCTTCCGTAGGTAGTGAGGATACGCTTGTCGCGCTCGGAAAGCGGCTTTGCAGAACCATGAGCATATGTTATCCATAACAATAGATGGAAGCGTCATACATACCCGATCATGAACTTCGTTGTCACCTTTGTGGTCCATTCAGAGCGCCAGGGGTTGTAAGGTGCCATAGAAGCATATGGTGCAAGTACGAGGCCCTCGGGCGAGATGGTAAGTCCCTGATGTTCTAGCTAAGTATCCCATTCTCAGTTGGTTAATGCATGACGTATCGGCATGTGACGAAGTTCCAAAATGGTGCTGTTCCATGCGTGAAGCCGCTTTGGTTATCGGCTGTCAGCTTTCGTTCCATGGAACCAACCATCCCCCCAACGGATAAGTTGCACGAGGGCTAAGCCATGTTCTTGGTTAGATGTGCTGTGGGCCTGGTCAGGGACCGATTGGGTAACCAATTATGAGTGGGCGGAGATATTAGTCTGTCAGCTGACAGCCAAATGACGTCCAATCAGCCGTTCGGTACCACTAGGCTAAGCATGTTGGCGAGCAGATAAGCAAAGTAAGATCTAAGAATTACAAGAATCATTCCTACTAGCATCTTAAATGCCTGCTGCGTGGCTGCCTAACTTAGCCACCGATCCAATTAATAGGGCATGTGCCTGTATGTAACGCGTCCAGCCCACCACCATCAATCTCGAATAACTTCCTCTGAAGAACACACGTTAATGGACGGTACCGCTCTCAAACCTAGCAGGAGGCACCGATTGAATAACAGATACTTGCCTTGTCGATATGGATGTGGGTGTGGACTTTCCAAACTTTGTAGACAGAAGGTGCATTTATATGTGAAAACAAGGAGGCACTCAATATATACCTACCTACCTGTTGCATCATTAAGGCTTGCAAAACAGGCCAATTTTAGAGCAGTGCGGCTGTCGACTAAGATGTCACCAGCAGCCAATTGGATGTGGTCTTGGACATTCGTCCATGTTGTGGGTTCCAAAACGTGTACAAGAACTTTTGATTATTAGTTCTATCCCATATACTCCGTAGCTTACGCGCCGTTATTGTCATCCACATTCTATTCTGGAAGTGAACTCGTCGGCTTCTGAGACGCGGATAGATAATAGGATTGTACTCGAAGTAAGAGCCCATTAGACCGGTATCCAATCACTGTATGAGAATTGTCCCGAGGTTCCGGTACCCTAAGTAGTGCCAGCTCCTTGCTATCTTTCCGTCCTCGGCCACTTACAAGCCCATGGCTATCCGTTACGCGTGTTAGAAAGAACGCCGTCTTTTCTTTTTGTGGATCTCCCCGGGGAAGCAACATCACCATTAGTTGAGTGAAAATGGACTAGTAGACGCGAACGGCTGAACTGCAGGGCAGTCGAGCCCTGATGGGCGAAGGAAGCAATGGACAAGGCACTAAAATTAGTGGGCGCTTAGGCAAGGCTTTCTCCGTTCAGCACTTCAATGGTTCTGGGTAGATGTTGAGTCATTGACGCTGTGCTAAGGGGATACGGAGGGTTTGCGCATTGGCCCCATCAGCCTTCCTAGGGGGGCTGTATATCACTGGTGAGTCCAGTCCGTGAATGGCGCTTAATCCTTAACTAAAACTGAGCCTCCATGGCTTATATGCATTGGAAATTATCTGCGTGGTTTTCTTCCTGTGTGAAATCCTTCGCACGTCGCTTTGGATAAAATATTTTTGAGGCCTCCGAACCAACCGTCTTAGGGCCTCATGCGAGGTACCCATGTCGGATTCACTCCCAATAGCCTGAAATAACGTCTCTCCCTTCAATGATTCGACATTAGCTTAAGTTACGCGCTATATCGGCAGCATTCAAGGCGGCTAGGGAACCCAACGTTTACTCGATTACTCATTGGTATCTACAAATGAACCAAGGTCATACGATGATGCTGTTTGTCATGCCGTTTAATCCCCACATCCAAGGAGGTTAGTCGCACTGCAGGGTCATCTAGACAGCAATATCACGTATTTTGCGTGATTTTGGCTCTGCTCGTGTTTATTCGTGCTCTATGTATGTGTTGACTGGGTACTTGGCTTCCTTTACCGGTGGCAAAGGAAGCTGGATTTCTCTTATTGACTCACTTCTTCCAATTTGTGATTCTGCTCTCGCGCCCTATAATGCCCACTTTTCCAACACATTGCGCCATCATGTGTAACTATGCATTCCTTTTATTGGGCTTGTCGCGAGCAATCGTAAGGGCAGGATCCGGTCGTATTACGATCCTTATTCCCATGACCCATCGACTGGCTCTAAGAAACTTTAGAACTCATGCCTAGACCCCTCCAACTGACTCGCAGCTCTCAGCTCGGCTACATCTTGGACTGATCTTCAGGTATGTGATGGCTTTACACTAGGAAGTCGTTCCAATGGCAATCGATATGGCAGTGCCAATGTTGGTCTAATGGAAGAAAGTCGCGCGCTCGGTGTCTCTCTAACCGCTCATTTGCTTGATCAGAGCAATCTGGACTGTTTTTCGTTGAGCCTTGTCAAGAACCTTGTGTTCTTTACGCGCCCACACTTCTTGATATCCCTTTGTAGTCAACTAGAGAAGACCGCATCATCTTTGTTCAGAAATCTCACAGCTTCCAACTATAACCTTTCCTAATATATTATTGAAAAGCCATTGAGACTCAGACCCTTCTTCTCGTTGCAGGCTGTCTTAGCTTTTCGGCTTGTTATCTGCTTTTCCTTCCTTCAATTATTGGATTAATTCTCTTGTTTTCAATCTGTTCGCCTATAACGACATAAGCACTCCGGCGCAATCTACTGTGTATCCCTTTGTTATCTTTTTGCAACAGACATCTTTGTCTTACTTCTTCCAGAACTATTGAGCATAAGGCATCCCTCACATCCTGTGACAAGATAGAGTCCCTCGATACAACATGGCCTCGACCTATGATCTTGTGAATTATGACTCTGACGAGGAGAGAGAGAAGTATCCCCGAATCCCCGGCTCCAATCTCGCTTCTGCTGCTTTCTTTATGGCTGGGCTGTTGGATGGAGCTGGGATTCCTTATGGGCTGATGGGTGGTCTTGCGGTCTCATACTTGGGAGGTAAACGTGAGACCAGAGACGTTGATATGGCCTTTCAAGCACCTGGAAAGATGCGAGACTTGTGGAGAATTGTGGAGGCCGAACCGCGGTATGTCAGGCTGGTATATAAGCTCTTTTATCGCTAAACTGACATACTAGCCTCTAGTTTGATCATTCCGAACACCAGATTGATCAGTAATATTTTGAAGGTATTCGTCCGCACTGGCCCGGGTTACGACAACTGCGTGATGGCATTGCCTGTAGAGGTTGACCTTATCGAAAGTGGTAAGCGTGGCTATACAAAGCATGTTCAATCCCTTCTCACCAAAAACAAAATATAGGATATCAAAATAGCCCACGGGAGCTTTCTGAGAACAGAAGACAAGTTTCGCTCAATACTAGAGCTGGAGTGCGGACGATTTACGTAATTGAGCTCCTTTTCCTCCTGAGAGGTAAAATGGCGGCCTTTGCTGCTCGCAAAAGACGTGGTGATATGGAAGATATTCAACATATAGTGTTGGCCTACGGATCAGAAGTTCGAGCGGTTGTTCATCGTTTAGATCCAGAGACCGTCACTGCTTTCCTTGAAAGTGTGTCTCCCGCGAACCTGCCCCGCTGGAGGGCATTTTTTGGGCGTTGAATCCTTCTTGTGCTCACCACTTTTCCTATCATGGCGTGGGTATGGCATTGTCAAGTGGGGAGATTGTATGGGCATCCATGGACTCACGCATGTCAATCCAAGTTCACCAGAATGGCCGTGGAATGCAGTATGCCAGGGTATACGCAAGAGTATTCTCCTTATGTCCAGCGGTGTATGTGGTTTTGATGTTACTTGTCCGGGTCAGGAGAGGGTTTACTTTTTGTCATTTATATGTTTTTTGCTTTGCTCTCTGCTTGCTTGCTTTTTGGTATGTGTCTCATGTTCTTTGTCATTGTGTAATTGCTTGTTCGCTGTTGCCCCTTTAAATAGCTACTGAATTTGGTTCTCGACAAGCATTGAATTAGGCAAGTTGGGTATTGAGGATATCTACAAACCAGGCCTGCGGACACTCCTTGGGTCCCTGGATCCATATTTCCGATACCTACTCGCATAAACATCTGGTGAATACTTCCAGCCCAGGCGTCTCTGTTTATTTCTGACCGCATCCAGCCAGATCACTCTCCGCGAGACAGGAGTTGGGTCAACGAAGATGAACATTTCATCCACCCCATCATCCCGGAAAGCCTGGGCGCGATCTTCCAGCCACTGTGTATCAGTATGGCCTTCCAGGTCGAGTGTTTTGTGACCCCACTCCTCCGAGAGGTCCATTCCATCTATCAACTCCTCTAGATCTAACAAGCTTTTAGAATCAATCGCACTTTGCACGTACACTGAGAGCTTGGGGTACGGCAGGCCACCTGGGGCGGTTAGAAGATTTCCTAATATGCAGAGCTTTATACACTGTAGCATACCTAGACTCCACTCGATATTCTCTGGTTTAACTGTGAGGTGGCAGTAATTCCCCGGAACTAGGAGCCAGAAAGACGCCCATCCAATTGCCTTGAACCTGGGGTACTTGTGGTTCAGCAAATCTGGCGACCTAAGCGGGCTTGGACCACATGGCTGGAGGATATGGCTGTTAGAGCTGAATAATTCAACCGCACGTTGAAATTGCTCATCCGGTATGCATAATACTAGGTCCTGGGCTTATGGTTAGGTGGCATTCCCTCAGGCGCTCACACGATAGAGGGTCTTCACGTACGCGTGGTACACGCGTAGTTCCATAATAAATCAGTGCTTGTTCTTGAACAAAGCAACATTGTATCCCAGCATCGGTCAAGATGGATAGCATCTTGGATACTTCTTCGGTAGGCTGTAGCCCCTCGTTTATTTCTCCGACTGCGAGTGGATCAAGCGCTGAAGAGATGAACACTTTCTCGGCATTCGCTTTGGGATGGTCCATATTTCCGACTTGAGAATTTAGATATGATTAAGTGTCTAATAGTGTTATTATTGTTGAAAGGTCCCCTCGAGAGCTGGAAGAACGATGAGATGCCTGCCAGGTTTAGTTAGGTTGATAAGAAGGAGATGATGGAAGACGGGATCAAAGCGGAGCCCATGGTCACATGGATGCCATTGCTAACGCTTGCCCACCCAATAAGGCTGCAAACGGTTGCCTGGTGGGATTTTACAAAGTACGATCAGATGTGGGCCTTCTTATATTGATTATTGAGATTTCGATTGTGGAGCTGAGGGTCTATCGCCGTATCACGCTGTTCGGGTTTATCAAAACGCAACATTCGAACCATCCCAACGTCATTTCCCCGTCCCCGCACATGTTCCTATATTGATGCCTAAGGCAGTAGTTGTGAATCACCAATTGCCTGGAGACAGATCTGATACAGTGAGCGCCTTCTCGGGTTATTTACTGGTTTATTGTTGTCTTCCAACAAATCACAAAAATCAAAAAAACAAAAACATACAACAGAAGGGATTCGCTGGTGGTCACCCACCCAACTACTAACCTCCCGGCGTGTGGCTTAAGTACGGCTGAGCGGACGGGAAGCCCTGTTTTCCACACCCTGTGGTCGTATGTATTTATCTTCATTTGCAGGTGGTATATATTCATAAGACGCTTAATATAGCTTTTCGGATATTCGGACCCTGCATTTGTCAGTGCCGCAGTGCATCCGGCACTGATCGCTTATCGGAAATTCTCCGTTGCATGACGGAATGCACTAATTTCTGACTCCGTTGATTTTGACTCGGCCGATCATCGGGTGATATTTTCCCCTGTAGGATAATTCCATCTATTTCCGTTCTCTCCCTCGGTTTCCTCATAATTCTTGAATTTTTCTAGGTCACCTTCTATTCGAAACAATATGGCTGCCAAAACTTTCATCGTCACCGGTGCCTCGAGAGGTACGAACCCAACTCATTATATTGCTTATGTCGGCATCTAAATATGCGACCCCCGACGCTAAATATCCTACCCATGGTATAGGTATCGGTCTTGCAACGGCCAAGTTCCTCCTTTCGGCGCCTCAATCCCACAATGTGGTAGTGATGGCCCGTAGCGCGGAGCCCCTTCAGAAGCTGAAAGACCAGTACCCCACTCAAGTTGAGGTCCTGACCGGCGATCTTGCGGATTTCTCGCTGGGCCAGAAGGCCGTTGACCTGGCCTTGAAGGCCTTCGATCGTCTCGATGGCTTGGTTCTCAACCACGGCATGCTGGGCCAGGTTGCCAACGTCGCGGAGGCGGATCCGAAACAATGGCAACATGGATTTGATGTCAATTTCATTAGCCTGGTGACTTTCGTAAGTTTATTGCATAGACTCCTTGATCAGGTCCACAGAGAAGGGGCTACCGGTATTAGGTACTGATACATCAAAACCAGATCAAAGCTGGACTCCCTGCCCTTCGCGAAACCAAGGGTAAAATCATCTTCACGTCTTCCGGTGCATCGGTCTCGGGATTCAAGGGATGGGGTCTGTATGGCGCGACCAAGGCAGCCATGAACCACCTGGCTCTGAGCCTTGGCGAAGAAGAGCCTGAGGTGACGTCTGTGTCCATTGACCCGGGTTTGGTTGATACCGAAATCCAGAGACAGATTCGTGAAGACCTTGCTACTACTATGGACCGCCAATTCCATTCTGTCTTTACTTCGGTCCACCAGGCTGGAAACCTTCTGAAGCCTGAGCAGCCTGGTAATGTTATGGCTAGGTTGGTGATTGATGCGCCGAACTCGCTGAGTGGCAAGTACCTGACGTAAGTTCTACTCTTGTTCACCTATGACATTTTCGTGATATGGTAAAACTGACGAGAGATAGGTGGAACGACGAATCTCTGGAGGCTTTCCAGTAGACTATATAGAATAGACCTGTATATTTCGCGACCAGTATATACGATCATAGACTGTTAGACGAAATAATTTCTTACAGTTCATCTACATTTTACTAGACCACTATAGAGTGGCTGAGTTGAATTAAGGAAGGAAGGATATGAGTAATTGTAGGATAAATCGATGGAGTCGAAGTTGTTAGGGACTGTCGATTTGTTACCTGGATAGAGCACCTAGAGCAGAGCCAGACAACCTTTATCAAGAAGATTCAGGGGTTCATGACCAAAATTAGCCTAATAAGCCAAGAAAAGCCCCGCATTATGTCATTGGACCCTGCACTAACGAAGTCAGTGTGTGTAGGTTATGAAATTCCATCAACATTCCGCCACCTGCAAGGCAACCAGTCACTCACCATGCATCTAGATCACAAAGTACCATGGAACACAGCAGCCGCACACATAAATATCATAAGATGCAATCCTCATTTCACACCTCAACGCACCGACTTCTTCGCCCGAAATAAACCCACGGAGTCATGCGACCTGAACCACTTTCGTCGCACCCTTACCAAGACGATCCGCGAATTCTCACGCACCGAAGAAACCAAGCCACTCAACCCTGTCCCTCTGGACAGCCTCATATCTGATGATCTACTATCATACCCCGAACGCCACTTCGGCCTCGGACCTCATCAAAAAAACTCCGCCCTGCATAACCCCCTATCTACCAAGCACCGAGACATCCAATACTGGATCGACAGCGCTAGCTCTAGTGATGAAAGTTACCCTATAAGCTACTGCAGCGGAGACGGGGACCTCGCCGACGCAGTCAAAATGCTGATCATCATATCCGCAAGCGCGAGAAAGAATGATCCCCTATCAAGGCAAATGTCACGAGAAGCTTTTTCTGCTCTGATAACGCTCTCGCGCCATCCCCAGGTACCTTTGCATACCCTGGCAAACATCCATTGGGGTCATGCGTTTGGCGTAGAGCTCGTTGCGGAGCCGGCGTTGACGATATATGTCATGGTTAATCTGATGGATGCGCTGGTCATGCAGAAACGTTCGAACGGAGATGACAAGAATGTAGCTTCACTAATGGAAACACAAACATTTCAGTACTGGGCGCGTCATGCCCTTGCGGACTATGATTATCCGACGCAGAATGTTCTGCATCGGGAGTTTTGGAATCACTTTGGGGTCACGGATATGTGGCCTTTGCAGCAACGGTGTGAGGAGGGTTTTGATGCAACCTTGAAGGATGAGGGTATCACTGATCCGTTGAGGGGGGAGAGTAAAGATATTAGAGTCCGCTTGAAGGAATATTTGAACACCTGTTTCGCTATATTGTACATATACGATATGCTGCTGCGGGAATGGTATGGGGAGGAGGAAGCTGACGAGAAGTGGAACTACTGTATTGGTTCCCTCTTTGAGTCTTGGGGTTGCAAGGTCTAGATTTGACTTCAACTGAGCTGCTAGTGGCTCTTATCCATGAATCCTGAGTCGTGCTCGTGGAGAATTACTTTGAATATCCTGAAGCTATTACACCAAGCCGGCCGATACCAAATCATCCAAAACCGTATAAACCAGCTTCCTGCCGCTAACGGTGCCGTTCTTCAAATCCCCCAGTCCATCAAGAACCCTCTTTAAACCCCCGGCTCGCTTATCAACAACCAGTGGTTTAATCTTCCCCCCAGACCAAAGAGTGGATACTATGCCAGCCCATCTCTGGGCAAATTCAAATTCTGCCGGCATCCTGGGGATAACCATGCAATCTGGACCGTACTCAAACGGCTCACCAAGAGCCGTGCAGCAATTGACAAAAGTAGACTTCACGTTTTCACGACCCATTTCCGCAGGGAGTAGAGAATGATACAAACCGCCCTTATTACTAATGGCTTTCTCGCAGATGCGAACTGACTCCTTTGTTGACACAGCATCACATACAATTCTTAATTTATTGCTTGTATGCTCTCGGATCTGCTGAGCACACCTGGGGTCACGATAGTCGAAAACTGCATCAGCGCCGTACTTGCGGACAAGGTCAAAGTTTCTCGGCGAGCAGGTGGTTAGGACAGTGTATCCGGCTCTATAGGTGCGCGAGGTTAGATTTCTGTCCTTCACCGGAACATAGCAAGGGAGAGAACTCACAGTTTCGCAACTTGAATTAGCCAGCATCCCGACGCCGTGCTTCCGCCATAGATCAAGATTGTGTCGTGATTCTCCTTAGGAGGGTGATTCCATGGTAAATTAAGACCGGATGGCCCAAAAAGACATTGCCCCGCGGCAATTGCTCCGACTCCCATGGTGGCTGCATCCTCGAAACTCACCCCATCGGGAATCCGTATCTGGACGGCCGCTTTGGCCAAGATATACTCTGCGAAGGTACCGCTCTCGGGACGGGTTCTATCTGCTCCCTTGACGAGTCCACATACACGGTCTCCGACTTTGTACTGCTCTGAGGCGGATTGTCCAACCTCGACAATGGTGCCGGAATAGTCATGGCCCATGACTGCGTTGGGCGACGGAGTGCTTCCAAGAAGCATCCAGTCAATAGGATTCAAGGCCACAGCGGCAGTGCGAATGAGGATTTCATCGTGGCGGGGAGTCGGGATGGGTTGGTTTGTGACGAAGGCTGCGTGGCCTAAGGATAGGGTGATGACTGCTGATTGAGTGGACTGCATATTGAAGAACAATGATTTTAATAGAAGCAGATGGCTTGAGTCGACTGAATGGTATACTCACGCCAGAGCAGTAACATTATATATCTTTATATACAGAAGGAAGTTGGGGAAGCTTACAATATCCTTAGAAATAATGCGCTGTATGGGACCCACTTTCCTCCGTAATGGCTGACGGCCAGCCGTCGCATGACCCGCATGGCTCCGTTAATGTCTAATCATCTTTTGAGAGATACGAGTGAGTCTCCATTTATTTCGCTTTGACAGGTAGCATGCTGACCGGCGATTCACTCTATTATGAGGAAGGTTACCATTGTCACTACCTGCTAAATTTATTCATCGCAGATTGACTATACTCAACTACCGACTATTTTCCCTTGCACGGTGTCCAATCCTTTGCATGCAACCAGCAAAAGGAATTTGAAGTCATCTACATGAAGCAGTTCGCCTTGTTCCCAGACACCCACAAGCTCGTCGTAAGACACAATTCTGGATGATGATTGCGTAGTCAATTGCCCTTCATCAAGACTCCCAACATACAAATTCGTGTATGACTGAGTAGAGACCGGCAGCCCAGCAAGATATTTGATAAAGTCGCATCTGTGGAAGTGGACCACGGCATGAACAGCACGCACCAGATATGACACTAAGATAAGTCGCCGGGCATTTTCACAGAGATCCCTGCTCTTCAAATGGCTTGGGGATGTTGTGTGCCGAAGTTCCAACTCTCTGCGTTCTAGGTCGGCTGTGCCCTGTGCTAACTTGTAGTCCAACTGGATAAACAAAGACTGATCACCAACACCACCCGCGAAGAAGAGAATAAAGTAGAGAATTAAAGCCTGGAGGTGATCAAGTTGATCCTGCAGTTCCGCCTGCGGTAGGTTACTCATACCCGCGTTACTGACGCCTGCCTTCAACAGCTGGAGGTAGAAAGGCTGGGTTGCATGCTGGCAGGTGCGATATGCGGCGCACACTCCGTAGGCTTCCCGGAGAATAGGAGAAAGCCCCCCTTTAGAATCGGTGGATGACTCAACGAGAGGCAGTGTACCGGTGTTCAAGAAGTGATCGACATAGCCTAGGAATGTTCGGATGCAGAATCGCCAGGTTTGCATGTCATTAACACGGGGCCAAAACTCCAAGACTCTGCGTTCCAGCCGTGGCAGTAATGAGGATGATAGTCCATCTATTGCCCTCGTCTTAGACGACCACTGATCCGGTTCTACGGCCCAGCCTTGAGCGGGGCTCGTCGGACCGTCCGGGAACCATAGCAGTGGGTCAATATATTCCTCTCCGGGATAGAGGATCGTAGATCGGTCTATGCAGCTATCTATACTCATGATGTCGCTGACTTCCAGGATACCAGAGTCGCTTGTAGTGCTGACATTTGCAATCTGATCCTGTGTATTCTGTGGAGGCGGATATGGGTACTGACACACCGAGTTCTTCTTCCGACAGCGGGCGCAAGTGGGCCTTTCCAAGTCGCACCGACGCTTTGCTGCAACACATGATGAACAAGATGTTCTGCGAAGGGACATTGTTACGTCCGCTCTCGTATGAGTGATTCGACTGCGCTGGTTGCGGGGTCTTGATGTTATTAGCTCCCAGCTTATGCGACGCGGTTGAGTTGCGGACAAAAGTGGATCAGCGGAGGAGGGTGGACCACTGCCATCATCTGACATCAGCCAGAGACAGATCCCTTTGTCTTACGAAGTATTATTTAATCAGACACGAGAAACATGAATGGAAGTGATTTCTATGACGATAGCCAATCGGGGACCTATAATTTTAGGGGTATTGGTATTCTTGTTATTGTAATCAATACAACGAACCCTAACACTCACCCTTACCAGGGTGTCCTAATCTGCAGTTCCAAGTCGCCCCTCGTCTTGCTAATCAGATTGAAAAGGAAATGCTCCATAAGTCCATCAAGTCCAAGTGTCTGGGGCCCGCCTTTCAGCGTGACCATTTCCACTGCTGCGTCTACGTGATGCTTGAGCATTTTTGTATCTCGAACATATAACTATACCCTAGTATTAGCACTCTCCGCATAAGGTCACAGTAGAGGCACTTACTTCGTCATACGCTAGCATAATAGCTTTCGCGACCGTGGAGTCACTCAGCAACGGCATTTCAGCCGAGATGGCATGCCTTAGTGCATACAGACTCTGGGATTTATACTGAAAGGTCAGTTGTTGAAAGATGCGCTGCTGTTGTTGCGACCCCTGTCTATATGCAATAGACAAGTGGCGGCATGCCGCAAGCAGAATGATATCGAGAAGGCTTGACTCGGTGATCGCAGTAGGAACCCAGAGTCTAATCATGCGCTGCGCGAAGAAGATTGCGCTCTCATTGCAGCGCATCAGGGGGATGACGACGTTGACATCTTCACCCATAAATTAGCAAACTTAGTATGTTCTGGACTTGGAGGCCATACAATGATCAAAGAGAAATTGCTCTAATGAGGTTAAGCCCCTAGCAAAGCTTTGAAAAGGGTCTCGCCTATCAGATGAGAGGACTGTAGCGATCTCTAGCCGCGCACTTGACGGAAAGCCAGTGCAACTACTGATAACTCCGTCTCGTGTGTCTATCCTCCCCCGCTTCTGTGCCTGATACTCCATCATCCGCCGATGTCGGACGCGGGCATGCGCAGAGCGAGCGGCATGTGAGCGAGTAATCCGCTGTTGTGACTCTGTCAATGCAGCCTTCTCCTTCGGTGCAAGTGTGACATTGATAAAAGGTGCTTCCCGCTGCGCCATCCTAGATAAAGGGCATTATTTGAAACTCTTGTTTTCGATTATGAGCTAAATAATGTCCATGATGAATTGAAGCCGGGCAGCTGACATGGCTGACAAAGCATCTATTATCTAACTTTGCCAAGACCTGCGCCTGCTCAATGAGGCTTAATGCTTATCCTGGATAGACTCACGCTTGTGATTGGCTCAATGTGCTCTGTTGATGTCGTATAGATAGATTCTGCCATGTGTTGAGAAATATTTTACTGCGGAAGGGGCCATCAAGGACGGATATATATAAGCATGATGTCCTCCCCTTGCTTCATCAGTTTTCTTATATTATTTCTTCTCTAAACCCAAGTCTCCAGGTTATCCATCAATTCCATCATGGAAGGGACAGTCCTCATCACCGGCGCAAACGGCTCTCTAGCATTAGGCTTCATCCAAGCCTTATTATCCCTCCATCCTCAGATGACCCTAATTGCCACCGTCCGAAACCCCTCTCCAGACCACGACCGAAACACCGCAAAACTCCTCAACCTAATTGCCGGCTACCCTAAAGCGAACTTCCACCTCGAGGCCCTTGATCTCGGAAACCTATCCAGCGTGCGTTCTTTCGCAGATCAAGTAGCTGACAAAATCTCCTCGAAGAAACTTCCATCCATCTCAGCAATCATCTGCAATGCCGCCACCTTCTCCTTCGAAGCGGGACAGGCCTTCACGACGGACGGTTATGAAGCCACCTTCCAAGTATGCCATCTGTCTCATTATCTGTTGATATTGAAACTCTTAGGGAGTATGAACAAAACATCCGGACGCATAGTCCTCCTTGGCTCAGTTACCCATTACCCCGAAAAACCCAACCCGCTGTGTTCTCTGAGGCCGGGGTTTCCGAAGAATATGGACGATTTGGTGCGTCCGCCGCCGGATCCAGCAAATCTTGTGCATGATAAAGGGTTTCAGAGATACGGTACTGCAAAGCTGGCGAATGTTACGCTGGCGATGGATTTGAATCGCAGGTTGAAAGAGGTACGTTGTTGCACTTCCCCATAAGAAGGGAAAGAATTGACGTTGGCTTTTGCAGGACGATCATTTGTCCGGCATCACTGCGCTTGCCATGGACCCAGGCGGTCTTCCGAGTTCGAGGGCGCAGGCGGGACAGAAAAGGTCGGCGCGGTGGTTGTTTAGGGTTGTTGAGTTCCTGATGCCGGTCCTAAAGTATATGACGACGATGTTTCGTACCCTTGATGATGCTGGGCGGGATTTAGTGGCTGTGAGTGTAGGGGATGAGTTCCGAGGGAAATTGGGGTACTTTGTTGGGACGAAGGAAGTGGCACCTGCGGCCATCAGTGAGGATCGTGAGGCACAAGAGAAATTGTGGGAGAATTGTTGGAGGTGGGCGGGTATGCGGACTGAGGAGACCGTGCTTCTGAATGCTTGATAGGTAATCATCGCAGGACAGGGTATAAGTAGGGATGTGTTTGTGTTTAATGTCGAAATATAAAATTCTCGCTCTCAAAAAAAGTGTACATATTTATAGGGCATTATGTTATTTGCTGGTATCAAAATGAGTAGAAAAGACATAACTTATATCCGGAATGCCAAAAAAGCCACTAGCGCCATGAAAAGCGAAGCAAAAGCAGGCGGTATGACGGAGTGACTTCCACCAGACGACGATGAAGAACCCACAGCGGCAAGCCTCAGCTCAGAATAGGTTATATTGGAGGTATTGTAGCCACACAGCCCACTTCCCGGCATCATTGCAGCGGGAAAGAAGACTCGAGGCTCGCCCTTGTCCATGTCCACGACCAATTGGCTGTAGGTGTTGACCGTATAGTTGACGCAGTTCAGCACTTCCGTGACCACCTCGCTAGCCCCATAGCTCATAGGTAGCGTCAAAGTATAAGCCGAACCATTAGAGCCCGCCGTAGATAAGACCATGATGACTTGGCGTCCATAGGTGCCCTTCCAGAAAGCCAACTCGCTACCTCCCTGGTAAATCGGGTATGTTTTTGAATTGATGTAACTGGAATCAAGGTTGATGGCATGTTTGCGGATGGCATTGAGTTTCGCAATGTGTTTATACAGTGTCGCATTGGTGTCGAAATCCGTCAACCAGAGGGCCGCTCGATTGGAATAGGCAATGGCCTGCTCCAGACCTTGGTAGACTAGGGGAATGCCGTCGTAGAGCATCATGAAAGTCAGTGCGGTTTTGGCTAGCATAATGTCGTCATTCATGTAGGCCCATCGGTCCACGTCTTGATCTTCGATGAAATTGACCATTGCGAACGTATCCGTGCAGAGATCGTTGATGGTTGCGATTTCCTCAAGCAAGGTCGCAGGCTCTCCGTTCAAGAAGGCCGTGATCATGGAGTAATAGAGGGGGTAGTTGGGAAGACTTGGCAGGTAATTTCTCTGATATTTGCATACGTTGGTGGCATTCGAATCCATGACTTCGCCCGTCATAAATCCGCCCACGGTTTCCGCATATGTAGGCAGAAAGCTGGGAGTGAGGGACTTGGCAGCGTCGATTCGTAGCCCGTCAACAGAGTAATTGGTAATAACCGATTTACTCCAATCCATCAAGATGTCCTGCACCGCAGTATGCTCTGTGTAGAGATCCGGGAGTGCGGTGTAGTTATCACCAGTCTGACACCACTGGGCATCCGTATAGTTATTCCAGTTCGTAATGAGGCAGTAGGGGTGGAAGTATGAGGATCCATTGAATTGAGGAAAGACATTGTAGTCAATAGTTGTCGCGGGATCCTCGCCATCCGTCATATAAGCCATATTGTTGATGACGACGTCCAGCAGCAAGTACATGTCTCGTGCGTGGATCTCCTCACTCAGTTTCAAAAGTTCCTCCCGGGTCCCGAAATGAGAGTTGATCTCGTATAGATCCAGAGGCCAGTACCCATGGTAGGCCTCCCCGTCCTTAGATCGCCCCGCAATGTTTTTAATTACAGGGGAGATCATGATGGCATCGAACCCCATGCCTTGGATGTAGTCCAGCTTATCGATCGTCCCCTGCCAAGACCCGCCACAGTAATTGGCTTCCGTAGTATTGCATGGTGCGGTGGTCGAGCCGTTGGTGAGGGCAAACCGATCGGTCATTGTCTGGTAGATGGATCGCGTCTTCCATGCTTCTGTGCTTGCGGCTGTCGCTAGCGAAACGCACCAGCACAGGAGACAGACGGCCATGAGCCGTTGGCCCAGGAGGGAAGCGAATTTTCGAAACATAATTGGCCGTAACTACCCTCGATTAACCCTCTATGCCCCCTTGTGGAGGTTCTGCTTCCCGTTGGGTGGGTTTGGGGTGACCGAATGAATTATGACAAGCAACAGCTTACTCTAACGAATGTGTTTTAAGCGTTTCAACTTCACGCGATCCAGCCAAACGGGCCGCTGAGCATGATGTTGAGGCCGGGTGCGCTGTTCCCGTTGCAATAACGGGGAAAAGAAAGAATGACAAGTCAAAGCAACGCGACTCAGGGGGGCGGAACCCCCGATAGCTATAGCAGAAGATAAGAGCGCCAGACCGGGGGCTGCAGAAAAAGGCCGGTCGAAGCCGGAAGTACCATAAATAGGTAGTCTCTCCCCCACCCTCGGTCACATCGTGTGCCCGGAGCCCTATCCATCATACTAGTCAACACCCAACGAGAACCAAAAATAAAGACGACATCTAAAATTGTAACGCTCGATGGTACTATACCCTACTGGTACTCCAGTTCACCCGAACATTCGAGAACGGGTAGCAGCGTTAAACACGAAGATCCCCTGGGATTGTCGCGGGAGATTGACTGATTATCGTGAGGGCAGGGCTACGCTGAGGGCGAAGTGGACAGGGCAAATTAACTTCCCACTCTTCGGCTGGGAGAGCGTTCAAGCGTCAAACAGCTGATTGGTGTGATAGTGACGAGGCCATGCGTGGTCCAGTGGCAATTGCGTAAGTCTGCCGGGCCGGCCCCCACATGCCTTGTCATGATGTTTGGATGCAGTGGAGTCAATGCCTTGGCTAGTTGTTGGTTAGTTCCTGCTTAGTTCCTGGTTAGTGCCGACAACAGCCTTTCATAGGACAATGTTCATCTCCACTCGGCCACTATCTTCGAATAGAAGCTTTGCCGGCCAAGCGGCTAAAATCATAAGTCCGAGCCCGGCCAGGCACAGCGAAATAGAGCAGCCCCTAAACCTGACATCCGAAAAAGCCACTCGGACTTGCAGGGAAAATTCTGCCACGCCGTTGGCTCCAGGCAGCTGTCCAATTTCCCACCATAATCTATCCGGGCGGGGTTTGGGTGTGTTCACCATGCAGGAAAGCCAGTTTGTGTAGTGCCTGACTTGAGCCAGGAGAAGGGGGCCCAGTATCTACTCCGTATGCCCTCGATCTTAAGATTGACATTGAGATTCCGGATGATCAGAGGATTGACCGGGCTAAATTGGTGTTCGGGCGTGGGTACTAAATCATGTTGCCATGAGGCCGTGCGGAACACCTGGAGAGTACGTATGGCCTCGTAATCAGTGGCTCGATTTAGGCCCAGCAGGATAGGCCAGTCCTGGCCAAGACTTATCACTGGGGCAAGTCGCCTTATCGATATGTGATGGACACAAGCTGGAAGCCACGAGAACACTTATCAGTCGTTCTTTTGCTGGGGGCGCAGTTGGCTTTGGTCTCCCCCATATTTGGCTTCTTCGTTTCCTCTGACTTGTCTTACATTAATTTCTTTCCGTCATTTTTATTCCCAACCATTCGCAACTGCAGACTTCATCCGCCCAATTGTTCATCCTTCGTTTGCATTCTGCTTCTTCACTCGTTTTCACCTCTACACGCCGTTCGTTCCGGACCATTCGGTCGCCACTCTTGGTCCTTGTCTAGCTTTGCTTGTGCAGAAACAAGGCACCCCTATTATTGTCTCTCGTTTTCTGCCTCGAATTTTGTTAGCCTTTCAAAAGTGCGTACTTATGACTGGCTCGTAGAAAAGCTTGGCCCTTTGTGATTGAACTGCGAGAAGAGGCCTGTTGCGCTTCAGCACAACATGAAGCGGGTGCTCGCTGGCCTCGTCCTTGCCTCCACGGCATGGCAGGCTGTCGCTTGGCCCTACAATGCATCACTCGCAGATTACAATCTGAACCAGAACAAAACTGCGACAAATCCTGCAGATTATTGGGGACAATGGCCGAACCACACCGGCGATTATTTTCCATCTCCGGATAACTGGCGATTCCCGTTTTACACCCTGATGCTTGATCGCTTTGTGAACGGAGATCCGACGAACGATAATTACAATAACTCAGTATGGGAACACGATATTTGGTCAACACAGATGCGTCATGGCGGAGATGTAGCTGGTCTTATCGATACGCTTGATTATTTGCAGGGAATGGGCATCAAGGTCGGTCAAGGGAACGGAATCCGATTGTCGGAAATCGGGCACCTGAGGTCGGTTTGCTGATCACTCGGGTTCTAGGGAATTTATTTGGCTGGCACAGTTCTCATGAACCAACCCTGGGGATATGATGGCTATTCGGCACTGGACACAACTCTGCTCGACGGACATTACGGAAATCTGGCACAATGGCGACATGCAATCACCGAGATTCACAATCGTGGCATGTACGTTATTTTCGACAACACGCTTGCGACGTATGTGCTCCTATTGTCCCCCATTGCTAATTCCCATGCGGTTGGCAATCACAGCTCTAAGAAATGCATCTAACGAGGCTTCCATAGAATGGGAGATTTGATCGGATTCGAGGGTTACTTAAATAGCTCGGCACCTTTTACAGTGGATGAGCACAAAGTCGAATGGAAGACCGCTCGGCGATACGTGGACTTCGATTTTGGTAACACTTATAACGAGACCTGCGATTATCCCCGATTTTGGTATGAAAATGGTTATCCCGTCCAGAAGACGGTCACCGACTCCCTGGTTGGCTGCTACGACAGTGATTTCGATCAATACGGTGATGTCGAGGCCTTCGGAGTGTTTCCTGACTGGGAACGAGAATTGGCCAAGTTTGCATCCGTGCAGGACCGCCTGCGTGAGTGGCACCCGTCAGTCCGAGACAGACTGATTCGCCATTCGTGTCTGGTGATATACCAGCTTGACATCGATGGTTTCCGCTACGATAAAGCCACGCAGGCGACCGTTGATGCTTTGGGTGATATGTCAGCTGCTTATCGCGAATGCGCCCGGGCAGTAGGAAAGGAGAATTTCTTCATAGCTGGAGAGATTACTGGTGGAAACACCTTCGGATCAGTCTATTTAGGGCGCGGTCGGCAACCGGATCAATATCCATCCTCGATTGAGGCTGCCATGAATCTCACGAATACCTCGGAGCCGCAATACTTCTTGCGAGAGGAGGGCATGAATGCCATCGATGGCGCCGCATTTCATTATTCGATCTATCGCAACCTCGAGCGTTTCCTAGGGATGGATGGCAGTTTGTCCGCCGGATACGATGTCTCGGTGGATTTCATCAATGCCTGGAATGAGATGTTGGTCTCGAACGATTTTCTCAACCCTAATACCGGTAATTTATTGCCACGGACCCCAGGGCATAAAAATGATAAGAACACTGACCATAGATGCAGGTGAATTCGACCCCCGACACATGTATGGTGTCACCAATCAAGATGTCTTCCGCTGGCCAACGCTGGAGAAGGGAACCGAACGCCAGCTGCTTGGCCAATTCGTGACTACCTTGCTTCTGCCAGGGATCCCCCTACTGCTGTGGGGAGAGGAACAGGCATTCTATGTCCTTGATGCCACTGCGTCAAATTATATTTTTGGACGTCAGTCCATGTCGCCGGCCGTTGCCTGGCACATGCATGGATGCTTTTCTCTGGACTCCTCAACTTTCTATGACTGGCCTATTACAAGGGGTCGTCACGCGTGCGAGGATATCACGGTAACGTATGATCATCGGGATCCCTCCCACCCAGCTCGCAACATCATAAAACACATGTACCAGATGCGCATCGACTTCCCCGTGCTCAACGACGGCTTCAATGTCACCAAACTGTCCAACCATACTGAATATGTATACTACCCAGGATCCAATGGAACCGCCACTGAAACCGGTCTCTGGTCGGTTTACCGTGGCATCAGCTCTGACTTCCAGGACTTGGGAACCGATAACAACCAGCCGGTCTGGTTGGTGTATCATAACACTAACCGGACAATCGACTACACATTTGATTGCAGTGACAATGACAGCGCATTGATTTCCCCTTTCGACACCGACACCTGGGTCAAGAACCTTTTCTACCCCTTCGATGAACATGAGTTGAGCAGCAGTCCGCAAAAGCTTGGCCTCAATGGATCTACAGCCTATAACGGTTGTCTTTCCAACATGACGATGAAGGCTTACGAGTTCCGCGCCTATGTCCCACGTGCCAAGTTTACCAAGCCTCGGCCTATGATCACGGCTTTGTCTCCCGGGCACGATGCTCCTGTGCGATCCACTGTCGCACCGAATGAGGATGAATCGGTACAAATCAAGATCTACTTCTCCGAGGCCATGAACTGTGATTCGGTGACGAGTTCCATCTATGTCAACTCTTCAACTGAGGCCGGGAAAACTCCAACAATAGACACAGACAGTGTCAGTTGCAAGACCGCTACATTGAACGAGACCGGCAGCGACTGGTCTGGTTTTATCCCGAGCGCCTGGGTATGGCAGGGGAACTTGACTGGCGTGCACAATGGTATTCATCGCATAACCGTGAACAACGCCACTAATACCTACAAGAACGAAACCACCGATTCTGTTGATCACTTTCTTCTGCGAGTGGGTCAAATTGATAATCCCATGATATATACGACCGCCAATTACTCTACCAGCCTGCTTCACAAATACGAAAATGGCTCGCTTTACATCCAACATCATGCTGCTGGTGCAGACAAATGGCGGTATTCCACGAACTGGGGCTCCTCTTATTCAGACTGGATGGATTACACAGGTGGAAACACTACCATAACAGAGTTATCATGGTCCGGTACGAGCAAGCAAGCCTGGGACGGGTACCACGTCCGCGCTGAATATTGGAGCAAATGGACGGGTAGCAGTGATTACGTGCAGGAAGGCGATACAGATTGGAAGAAGGGCCCTCGACGATTTCCCCACATCTTCTGGGAAGGTCCCTACAATGAATACGGCTACGATGCTGGGTTGGAGAGCGAGATACACCTGGATCCAGAGGATGGGCTGTGGAAGTACCATTTCACTTATGAGTGGCCAGCAATCGGTCAGGTCAGCATCTGGGGGATGAACCCGGATGGTTCGCCGGATGAAGGATGGGTGATGGGCGATGCTGATAACGACTCCGTCCTTGACCGGATGCCTCCATCGTCCCTCTCCGAAACCGTGATCAATATTACATCACATCCGCCTTCGCCATACATCTCCTGGAAGCTGATCATCGACGATGCCACTCAGAAGTTCCAACTGGTACCGGTAGGACATCAAG